ATCAGTGAGTAATATAAGCAGTAGAGACTACTGGCTTTAACTACAGCAGGTAAACCAGTTCAGCCGGTGCTGTCAGGATCCTCAGGGCGAACAAGTCTTTGCACATAAGTAGAGCTCTGGTAAATGAGTTCTAATTTCTTTTTTTTTTAATCCAGGGAGGGAAACCTTTAAAATTATGATACAAGAAAGGATCTGCACTTTCAAATGGCAAACATCAGTTGAATATTTTCACAAAATACTTAATTGGAAAATAATAAAATCCAGGGAGCAGGTAAAGCTACATTTTTCCCAAAGTGAAAGCTCAAATTCAATTTTTAAAAAACTGATTAGACACTATATAAACTTGCTGGTAGAGTATTAGGATACCCAATTTTGTTAATTACTACCTAGGACATTTTCAAACAAGGTGAGTGCCTTAGAAATGCATACTGATAAATACAACAGTATGTTACTGCACCCAGCTTACTGGCTGAGCTGTCTCATCAGGAATTCACTGAAGCAGTCTGGAATCATAACTGCCAAGCCAAGCAGAAACTCACCTGCACTGGAGTCCAGGATTTTATGTGGCAATAAGCATTTTTAATTAAAAGTTTCCCAATTCCTAAATTTGGAACTAAATCTGTAAACATGTGGCAGATTGAGCTAGCACCACCAAGCCTCATTGGAGCTGTGGGGGAAATGTGGCATTTTGAAAAATTGGCCAGTTAAGCTGAGAAAATCCAGCTGTGTTTTACTTAAAATTGCACTAATCAGTGTTATTTTATTCCCGTTTTCTTCACCAGTGTATTTGCTGTTATGTGTATGTTGGCTCCCCATTTCCCAGCCCTTCACTTTTATCTTTTAAGACTGATTCGTATAGTGGTAAGGATTCAAGCAATATAATACTCATTCACTTTAGTGAGTAATAGAAAGCCTCACCTGCCTTGTAGTTTATTTCTTAAATAAGTCAGAAGCAGCAGGTAATTTTCATCAGCAAAGCAATTAGATTTTAACCATTACCTATCACATTGCTAGAGGTCTTGAAGTTTACACACAAATCAAGATTGTCTGCTCACTTTAAGATAAGAATATAAAGAATATGGTGTTCCTTAATTAGAAGTAAAACTGCCTCTGGGAAGCAGTTTTTTCATTTAAATCAATACATGAATTATTCTTACATGGTGTTTGGGATGATGGGGCAGTATGGAAAATAGTCAGGGAGAGAACCTGGCCCGTAGTCAAGGGATTCACAAAGTCCACTTTCAAGGATGGGTTAGATTTTTTGATGAAGGCCATTGTCAGATTGGACTGGGAATCGTTATTTTAAACTCATTATTCTCCCAATAAATCCACATTCTGCTTTCCATTAGAGGAGTAAACTCTGGTGCCACACAGGACGACTAAAACTCTGTAGTTAGTAGATCTAAGAAAAACCAATTCAGGAGGAGGTAAACATGAATTAGAAGAAACTTGGGGTTACTAATGCTATTATATTGAAATATTTGTATAAATAATGCCTCCCCTGTCCCAAGCCATTCCCAGGCTGTTTGATCTTCCTGTTTACTATGCTTCTCTGGGAATTACTTCTGTCTTCTCGGAGACACTTTCTTCCCAATACAGGGAGGGCTTGCTTATTTATTCAGTAATAATATTGAACATATTAGCACCTTTGGTTTTCAATTCAGTACACACACATAAAAATGCTAAAAAATATGAGATTCTGAACTATGTATTAATTGAAATTTTGGTAACTAGGAGGAGTTTGGAGTTATAGTTCCAAGTGGCTTAGTTTTAAATCCTCTTATGGCTACATTTGAAGTTAGACCTAAGTATCAAAATGAAACTTGTTCAGCACTGGAAATGCAGTGAAAAAAAAATAGTTTTCACCATCTTTCTCTAAAAGAAAAAAATATATATAACCCAGGTAAGTTTCAGTAAAATAATACCTAGAAACATTAAACCACCAGTAGGCACTGTAAAGGAAGCAGAACACATGTGAGAGAAAGCTTTGTACTTGCAAGATGAGATATAGGAAATAGCTTCTGGTAAAGGCGTGGGAATTGTATATGAAGCAAGCTAAAGTTTCTCAGGTTAGTTCCTAGTAGAGGTTTTACTTTTTATTTTTTATTTATTTTGTATTTTTGGTAGAGATGGAGTTTCACCTTGTTGCCCAGGCTGATCTTGAATTCCTAAGCTCAAGTGGTCTGCCCACCTCGGCCTCCCAAAGTGCTGGGATTACAGGCGTGAGCCACCTAGTAGAGGTTTTAATAAGAGATTATCTTCCACTCCTAGAGTTGGCCTCATCTCTTTTCTATTGCCTTTTACTGTGAACTTGTTCATAGAAATGGATAGAAGCCTCACCATTCCTTCCTATCTTAAAGTAGTCAACTTTGCCACGTTTGCAGAGCATGCCCCTTGCGTTATTCAACATAGTTTCTCCTTGGTGCCTTCCAGCTCTAATCTCCTTATACGTGTAGCACCATGGCAACAGGCCCAGCCTAGAGCCCAGGTGCCTTATTTGTTACCTGAGGGGCTAGGTGCAGCCTGAAGGAATATTACCTTTCCTACAAATTGGATAGATGAAGTCTTGATCTGTTGTTTGTGTTTCTCTTCTGCTTCTATGGAAGGCTTGAAATAACACCTGGAAAACATTTATTCAAAGATGTTATCAGTAACCAAAGGCAACAAAGAAGCCATCTTCTATTTGTTCTCGTCTTCTAAACAGAGAATTGTTTTCTGATATATAGCTCAGAAAGTGACTTGCTATACCGGGACATGTGGCATCGCTATGATTTGGGGTTGCACTGCCAGGTGGCTCTACCATTGCTTCATGTAGGTAGACATTTATTTTGTTTGAAATAAAATTAATTTATGCTTTAGAAATTTTTCCTAGAGAATTTAAAAAATAAAAGTAAGCCTTTGTCATACCTCCTTCTGTTTTAAACATGCCTTAATCTTTCCTGTTGAAATGCTCACCCCAGAGCATGAGAGGATTTTTCCTTCCAGCAACTCCTCCTGGGAAAAATGGGCTAGAATTGTTGTTTTGTTTAAGAAAGATTGCAGTGTCCAGTTTCCTGAATCAGGCTTCCCATATAGCATATTGGGAAAGATTATATGATAATTAAAGTATAATCTTTCTAACATTTAATTATTTATAGTTGAGGTACTATATTTGCAGAACATAACATGTCATTGTCTTATACATAGAACAAAGGGAAATAAATATGGAGCTTACATTGTAATTTTTTTGTTTTTTTATTTTTAAATATTTTAATTTTTTGTTCTTGACCAATATCAGAAAAATAAACATTGTCATTTTAAGATACAAAACATTAGGTAGCATTTGTCCCTTTTGCGCATACTTTGTACTATCAACAAGAAATATAAATGTTGACTTTTTTACTTTAAAAATTACTAAATATCAGAACACATGTTTTGCAGCCTAAACTTTAAATGGTGGCTTATTTTTGTGTGTGTGTGGAAAGAAGAACTAAAATCCTTGTAAGCTTAAGATTTTTCTTATTTTATGAAATTTGATTAAACAATGTTAGAATAAAGGTAGAAAGGAGAAAGCAGCCTTATTGCTAGTTTCTTATATCTTTTTACTTCGTAATTTAACCAAAAGCTATTCTGACATTAAATATTTAAGTTCCTTTTAGTGTTAATGTAGTTATTTCAAGGAATTTAATGAAGCTGCTTATTTACTGTGTTTTATAAAAACGATTGTCTTTACACAAGGCATTTCTTTTTATCCTTATTACTAAGTACTTCTGCTTGAAATATATGTATGTAACTCTGGGTGTTTCCTGCAACAGATACTATAATTATTGAGTCAAACTGCATGGCCATCCAGTTTGGCATTCAAGAATATTGTACTTCATATGTTTGACTCCTTTAATTCTTTCAAGGGGAAGGCAGTGAAGTACTGGCTCTTGTAGTGCCAAGAGTCATGATTCCTAGCATTCTTCTTATAAACAACTAGGAAACAAAATCAGCCAGGATGACTGAACGGTGCTGACAAAGATCTCTCTTCTAGATGAGAATTTGGGCCTTTTTTTCCATGGTGGGAGGTTTCTTCAAGGCATTTTATTCTTTATTCATACTTATACAGTAAAGCATGTATAGAACCAAAAGCCTGCCAGAAAAGAATTCTATATTGAGATGGAAATCAGGACTTTTGAAAGACAAGGTCTTGTGCTAAAAAGCTTAGCTTTGACTCTGTGTGTGTGTGTGTTCTGCCAAAGTAGAAAGAAACAAAATGAAGATTCAGCCACTACTATTTTGTCAGTGATATAAGAGGATAAAGCTATAACATGAAAAACAAAAAGAAATAATTTGTCTTTTGGCAATACCTTTGCATAAGAAAGAATATATAAGATAACCTTAAAGAGTGTATGTTTCGGCCGGGCATGGTGGCTCAAGCCTGTAATCCCAGCACTTTGGGAGGCCGAGACAGGTGGATCACGAGGTCAGGAGATCGAGACCATCCTCCCGGTGAAACCCCGTCTCTACTAAAAAATACAAAAAACTAGCTGGGCGAGGTGGCGGGCGTCTGTGGTTCCAGCTACTCAGGAGGCTGAGGCAGGAGAATGGCATAAACCCGGGAGGCGGAGCTTGCAGTGAGCTGAGATCCGGCCACTGCACTCTAGCCTGGGCGACAGAGTGAGACTCCGTCTCAAAAAAAAAAGAGTGTATGTCTCTCCATCTTCCAAGATAGGAATGAGAATAAAAAACAATGTCTGTAATGGGATTTGAAGCTCACTTAAGACTAGTAAAATTATAGTATATTTTTATGCCATATTGAAAAAAGTGTGTGTGTACTCACATAGTTTTATAGAGAGAATATATTTGCCACATAAATATGATTACTATTACTGTAACTGTAGATTAACTATTAATTTGTTCCTCCTTTATTTCTTCCCTTAGGCATTTGTACATTTATTGTTATCCTCCGTTGCATTAGACCTTCATTTCCTTGCTGGCCAAGTTACACTATCTTAAATATCTTTTTCTACTTTTAGGTCTCGTGGGCTGCCTAAACTAAAAGAGTCACGTTCCCATGAATCCTTGCTGAGCCCATGCAGCGCAGTGGAATGTCTAGATCTTGGTAGAGGGGAACCTGTATCAGTGAAACCACTTCATAGTAGCATCCTTGGACAAGACTTCTGCTTTGAGGTAAAAATAAAGTGTAGAAAAAAGGAAGAATAGTTAAACAACAATTGGATTTTCTGTCCAGTAATTTTGCGATTTCATTACTGTGCAGTTGTATGATTTAATTAACTGGTTTTCAGTTGCTAGAAATTATCTACTTACAGAGAAAAAGTTAGAAATCTATTCATCTAATCACATTTGCAGCTAAAGTTATTGAAGATAACTTTGCATTCCTTTTGGCTTTGTCTCCTTTCAGTAAAATTTGATTCTTAGTACATTTTCATCGGGGACAAGACTAACAATAACATTATATTAGTATATTAATTTTTAGTATTGGTAAGAATGACATTCATCATGTTATTTTTCTAACCACAGCATGAGTGGTTCAAGATCTGAGACCATGTTTTTCTTATTTATCCATCCATCCATCCAGGACATTTTGACCTAAATGTCTTATGTATTTTTGAAATCCCCTGTACCTAACCCAGACCCCAGCACATTGCAGGTGCCTGATTTTTGGATAAACAAAATTGCCAACTATCATAAGGTAATTTCTCCCTTTCAAATATATACTACTGTCCAGTTACAAGTAAAATTTAAAAACTATATATACATATATTTATACATACATAGAATTATTAGGGCTGAGACTTGATTAATTAATAAGAGCTTACTAAGTGACTAGAGATGAGTCCTATACTAGATGTTGTAGAAGTCAAAAGATGTTTGGTTCCTCTTCTGATGGACCAGCACTGTCCAAAAGAAATATAGTACAAGCTGCATGCATATCCAAAATATTATCATTTCAACATGTTCACTATCGGAGAAATTGTTTCATTTTTTTTAAAACTAAGTCTTCAAATCTGATGTGTGTTTACACTTACAGCACATCTCAACTGGAATAGCCATGTGAGGCTAGTAGCTGCTGTGTTGGACAGAACATATAATCTGATTGGATTTATTAGGTTGTGACTAGAGATTGAGTTAGTAAGTGAGCAAACTTCAGCAATTTAGGCAGGACATTTATTGGTGTTCTTTTTTATAAAAATCAGTTGAACTTTCTCATGTTTGTGGAACTCAGTACATTAGGCTGTATACCAAGCCCAGAGTTAGGTGCTAAGTATATAACAACATATTTCATTTTTAAAGGACTATGTTAATAGTGGTCAGGTTAACCTAATAAATGACTAGAAATCAACAGGCTGGTTGCCTAGTGGAGGAAAAATGGGTTCCAAAGATAGTAATTCAATATTAGTAACTCTTTGATTTCATTTAGTACCCTTCTATGATATAGTGAAGACAGTCTCAAGAAATCTGATAAGCTGTTTCAGAAACGCTCATCCTTTATTACCTATTTTTTATTAACTAAAAGTTGAACGTATTTATTTGCAGGTAATTTAAGGTATTGCCTAAAAGGCCTTTAATTTTGATTTTCTGAACCATAGGCCAGTTTTAATTTCCTCGGCTGAATTTAAAATGGCCTTTGTTCTCATACCTGAAAATGGATGTGAATGCCACCTAACCAAAAAGCAGATGTAGATGTAGATATAGGTATCAAAAAACTAGTAAAGATCATCTTAGTTTCTTATGGTATGATTTGGGTTCATAGCATATGTCTAACTCACAGCTCTGCATTCCTTTTGGCCTTGTCTACTTTCAATAAAATTGGACTCTTAGTACATTTTCATCAGAGGACGAGACTAACAATAACACTAAATTAGTATATTAATTTTTTAGTATTGGTAAGGATGTCGCTCATTACGTTATTTTTCTAACCACAGCATGAGTAGTTCAGGATCTGAGACCATGTTTTTCTTATCTATCCATCCATCCATCTATCCATCCTAATTCCAGGACATTTTGACCTTATCATTTAAGAGTTAAAGGTATGCTATGAACCCAAATGATAGAGCCCTGAAATCCAGTGTTTTCTTTTTCTTATGTCTAATTTTTATGTTGAAGGTTACCTACTTAAGTGGAAGTAAATGCTTCAGCTGTAACTCCGCTTCTGAGAGAGATAAGTGGATGGAAAACCTTCGCAGGACAGTTCAACCTAATAAGGTAATAGTAGCTTCAAGTATCAAAAAAATGTATAACTTTGTAAGCAGTTAGTTAATAGCAGGTAAGTGTGATAGTAATACCTTAATTTGTCTACAGCTTGAGAGTTTTAAAGCACATTTATATGTTACACCATTTGTAGTAAGCCATTATTGTACTGCTATAAAGAAATATCTGAGACTGAGTAATTTATCAAGAAAAGCAGTTTAATTGGCTCACAGTTCTGCCGGCTTTATAGGAAGCATGGTGCTGTTATCTGCTCAGCCTCTAGGAAGTTATCAGGAAGCTTACAGTCATGGCAGAAGGCAGACGGGGAGCAGGCATATCACATGGTGAAAGCAAGAGCAAGGCGAGAGAGACAATGTGTATGTGAGTGATTTGGGGGGAAGGTGCCACACACTTTTAAACCACCGGATTTCACAGGAACTCAGTATCAGGAAGATGGAACCAAGCCATGTGGAAACTGCCCCCATGATCCAAACACCTCCCACCAAGCCCCACCTCTAGCATTGGGGATTACAATTCAACATAAAATTTGGACAGGGACAAATATCCAAACTGTATTATCATTTTAAGCTAAAAATAGTCTTACTGCAGATATTATTGGCAAATATTATTGCCATGGTTCTACCAGCATGGATAAAAGGACTCTGAAAAGTTAGGTGAATTAGCCATGTCAGAAGCTAGTACATGATAGAAGAGGGACTAGAATACAAACTTCTTAACAATTTATCTCTTTTATTTGCAGAAATTAAGCTGGTTATATGAAAACTTACCATTACAAAATGATATTTTCTTAACCCAAGTAAATAAAATAGAATGAACTATATGTAATGAACTAATATATAGAATGAACTATATGTAATTCTTCAAGATTCTAATGCATTCTTGTTTAGAGCTTGCCATTAACCTAAGCAATGAGATAGCAATCCCTTTCATTATTTGTTGACTCCCCTTAATAGAGTACCTAATGAACATTGCCAACTTAAGAAAAAAATGTTTTTTTTCCTGCAATGTCAGCTCTGAAATTCAACTTTGTTGCGTCTTTATAGGACAATTGCAGGCGAGCTGAAAATGTTCTTCGTTTATGGATCATTGAAGCCAAGGACCTTGCCCCTAAAAAGAAATATTTCTGCGAACTGTGCCTTGATGATACCCTCTTTGCTCGTACAACCAGCAAGACCAAAGCAGACAATATTTTCTGGGGCGAACATTTTGAATTCTTCAGCCTTCCACCTCTTCATAGTATCACAGTTCACATTTACAAGGATGTGGAAAAAAAGAAAAAAAAAGACAAGAATAATTATGTAGGGCTAGTCAACATCCCCACTGCCAGTGTGACTGGTCGCCAATTTGTAGAAAAGTGGTATCCGGTGAGTACACCTACACCCAACAAAGGAAAGACAGGAGGACCTTCTATTCGGATTAAATCACGTTTCCAAACTATCACCATTCTGCCTATGGAGCAATATAAAGAATTTGCAGAATTTGTCACCAGCAACTACACCATGCTGTGTTCTGTCCTTGAGCCAGTAATTAGTGTGAGAAATAAAGAGGAGTTGGCTTGTGCCTTAGTGCACATTCTTCAAAGTACTGGCAGAGCCAAGGTAAGTAAAAAAGGGGGATTGCAGTACCTGAAATCTCTTCCCTACCTTTCATAAACCAAAATAATGGATACTGTAGAAACCCAAATTAGAGAAATGTGCTTTACTACTGGTAAAAACAAGAAGAATTAAGAAGAAAACCTATTAGATCCAGAAAAGACGAAGATTAGAAAACTAAACAAGTAAAATGGAGAGACCAACAAATACTTAAAGTCCATTTGCGTGAAACATAGATAACACAGCCAGCTCTTTCTTGTCTGACAAAATAAATAGTAGAATTGGCATGATAACCCTACAGCATGTTCAAGGTTCCTTACCTTTAATTTAGTTCTAGAGTGTTGTATGGTGGTTTTCTTCCTCACTGTATTTTGTTTAAGATTAACGGATGGCGCTATCCTTTAGGCACAGAAGGAGGTATTCCAGAAGCATATTGGGTATTAGCAAGAGTCTTTGTGGGATTAAAATCTATATTTAGAATAAAAATCCAAGGGATATTATACAATTGGTAGCTGTTTCATGATATACTTATCTTACTTCACGTTGGATAGAAGTAAAAACTCGGGAATATTTTTTTTTAAAGGAGAAATATGCTGGTTATAGAAGAACAAAAATCAGTTGAGAGAGTCTTTGACCTATGAAGGATATTCACTTAACTACGAAGAGTTACCATTATACTGTATGCAAACTGGTCATAATAAAATTACATCTCAGATCCAAAGAAATTCACAGCTAGAATAATGTATTTAGAACCAAACAAAATAAAGTACTATTACTATTTCTTGATATGTCAGAATATATCAATATATTCAATATTTAGTCTCTTATCTGGCTTCTATGGATTATAACTTTTGTGTTTCAATCTACTAATGATAATCTTGGGCATTCTGTCATTTAAAAATCTTACAAGTTTGGAGCGAGGTGTCACTGAAATTTTGAATTGTATGGATATGTTTCTACTTTTCAGTTGCTCAAGGTTCAGAATATATGTAAGGCTTTTTAAAATAACAATATTGATTGACATACACTTTAGGTAGAATAAACACCCATTTAAAGTGGAAAAGTTCAGTAAGCTTTGACTGATTCTGCACCCATTGAAACCACCACTATGATCAAGATACAGAATGTTACCGTTACCCCCAAGAGTTTCCTCCTGTCTCTTAGCATTAAGTTTAATAGTGATTCCTAAGTCTACAACTCTGTTATACTGTTAAACTGCCCCAGAGTAAGTCCCATTGACATTTAAAATGCTTAATTTTAAAGTAAAAGTAAATCAGCATATTCCTCCTATTTTGGCATTTGCAGCCCTTGAAATATCCAATAATTATATAGCATTCAAAATATACGATGTTATCACATTTCAAACTGAACAACCAATATTGAGCTTTACAAGAAGTTCTTTAAGACTGTTGAGGAATGAAGCAGCTGTTTCTTTGCACCTTTATTTCCCCTTATGCTGTCCTTCTGGTTGGATGGATGGGCGGGCAGACAGAAAGATAGCCTAGACAGTGACTTCAAGTGATGAGTTCAGTAGACTCTACATTGACACTGTGGACCAATTTGTAGCTATTATATATTGAACACCTAATATATGCCAGAAACTGTTAGGTACTGGAGATATGGTGGTAAACAAAAACAGAAACTGGTTTTTCTGGGGAAAATAAATATTAATCAAGTAATTACAGAAATAAATAAGATTACAGTGAGAACTGCAGAGGATAAAAAGAGAGATGATACTATGAAATGGAACAAGTGCAGCTCACTAATGGAGTTCAGGGGCAATGTTGGTCAGGGACGCCTTCACTGAGGAAATGATGTGTGAATTAAAATCCAAAGGATCCCAGGAATGAGCTACATAATAGTAGGGTTGGAAGCAAGGGTGGGAGCAGAGCAGAATTGAAAACAGTATTTGGGGGGAAAAAAAAAAGGCTTTGTGGTAAATAGAGAACATTGTGTGTGTTAGAAAGGGCTTGGTGTATTAAAGGACCTAAAAAGAAAAGGTACAAGTCTTGAAAGGTAGACAGAAACCAGAAAATATAGGGACTTGTAGACTACATTCAGAATTATGGCCTTTATCAAAAGTGCAATGGAAAATCTTTGAGGAAATTTTAAATGTAGGGGTAGTAACACCTAAGATTTTATCCTGATTGCTTTTTTTCCTTTCGGATGAATCTGATAGCTTTAGTTTTAAAGCAACATTTCCAGGATGTCTGATATTTCAGCAGTCTCTTCTAATGTATATTATTTATTCAGTTGCTTTCTGCCTTATTGAACATTATTCTACCAGGATTTTCTGACTGACTTGGTGATGTCTGAGGTGGATCGTTGTGGAGAACATGATGTCTTGATCTTCAGAGAGAACACTATTGCCACCAAATCCATTGAGGAATACCTCAAGTTGGTGGGACAACAGTATCTTCATGACGCACTGGGTATGAAAGAGAAAAACATCTATTTTCTTTTCTTTACCTTTCGATTTTAAGTTATTTCACCCCCATGAGACAAATGAATTGAGCTCAAATTCTGCATGTTATTTAGTTCTAGTTGACTCAGGTGTTAAGGTTTGAATCGTGGCCATAAGAAGTCTCTGCAGTACTCACCAGTGGAGAAATAACAGTAAATGTAGAAACAGAAACCCTGTCAGCATACACTGCTACTCCGGGTCCCCAGCTTCATGATTCCAGGATGCACAGTAATATCAGCAGTGTCCATTGATAGATCTGAGGTGGTCTGTTTTCCCCAAAGTGTTGGGTGTTTATATGATGATGTTATTACCTAGTCTTGAGAGTGTTACCCTGACATTTGTTATCATGCATGCAAAACTCTAATCAAAAGTGAAGAAAGTCTTGCCACTTCCCACAACTCCCCCACAAATTTCTGCCTTTGAGGTTTCTAGAATTTTTAACATAACTAATTTTTGTCCAATCAGTAGCTCTTGCTGACTAGGCTACACACTTGCAGTTCCAGATTTGGTCGTGAAATTGAGGCATTAACCACTAGAGTAAGGCACTGTGCTGGTCACTTTAATATACATCCCGATAGAGCAGATGTGAGTTCCTTGAAGAAACTAGCCCTTTGTTTTACCTCCATATCCCCACTACCTGCACAGACTGTTGAGCAGCACTGTCCAATAGAAATATAATATGACCCATGTGTGAGTAATTTTATTTATTTTTATTTTTTGAGTAATTTTAAATTTTCTAGTAGTCACAGTATTAAAAAGGATGAAGAGAAACAGGTGAAATTGATAACATAATTCGTTTGACCCAGTATATCCAAATACTATTTAATGGCTTAAAAGAATAAAAGTTATTAATTAGGTGTTTTACTTTTTTATTCTTTTTGAAAATCAGTGTGTATTTCACATGTATCACACATTTTAATTTGCATAAACCATTTCTAATGCTCAACAGCCACGTGTGACTATCAAGAGTAGAAAGTAAAAATATGTTGAATGATTGGAGAGATTTTTACCCTCAAGGAGTTTGCAATATAAGGATATAACATTAGGGATATCTCTGTACCAAAAAGAGACATTCTGTGTTCTTGCAAAGAATTTTAAAAAATTGAATGCAGCTGATAGAATTGTCAAACTTTCTGTGTGAAATGCATTTATGTTAGTATGTAGTTTGAAGAATAGAAAGGTTAAAAATAGACACTGAGCAAGAGCAGATAAGAAGATAAGAAGTAGCATGGGGAAAAGGACACATGAACAAAAAGACAGAGAGGTGGAACAGAACCAGGAATGTGTGGAATAAAACCATTTAGCTAGAAAAAGACATGAAAGAAACATGTGAACAATAAACAAAAAGATTAAACAATAATTAGAACCAGTTTGTGAATACCTCAAGTGCCTGGGTGAAGATTTAAAGTTTACAGTAATCACTGGAAAGCCACTGAAAGTTTTGAGCAGGGTGTTTTCAGTGGAATTAACTTAGCAGACTAAGACGAGTTGTATCCAGGCATGGTGGCTCACGTCTGTAGTCCCAGCTACTTGGGAGGCCGAGGTAAGAGGATTGCTTGAGCCCAGGAGTTCGAGGCTGCAGTGAGCTATGTTCACATCACTGCCCTCCAGCCTGGGTGACAGAGAAAGACCTTGTCTTTAAAAAAAAGGTGAAGAAAGCCTACTGAAAGCCAATCAATTAAGAAGCCATTGTAGGCTGGGTGCGGTGGCTCACACTTGTAATCCCAACACTTTAGGAGGCTGAGGTAGGCGGATCACCCAAGGTCAGGAGTTCGAGACCAGCCTGGCCAACATGCTGAAACCCCATCTGTACTAAAAATACAAAAATTAGCCAGGCATGGTGGTGGGCACCTGTAATTCCAACTACTAAAGAGGCTGAGGCAGAAGAATTGCTTGAACCAGAGAGGTGGAGGTTGCCGTAAGCCTAGATTATGCCATTGCACTCCAGCCTGGGAGACAAGAGCAAAACTCCTTCTCAAAAAAAAAAAAAAGCCATTGTAATAAGGAAGAATGAGACTCTGAATGAGGGTAATCACGCAAGTAAGAATAGAGAAGAAGATGGATATGAGAAATAGTAAGGTTGAACTGATGGAACTTGGCAAATTTTTCAGTTTGTAGGAAGGAAGGAGGGAACAAATATTACAGAGAATTGTGGGGTTTTGTGAGTGACTAGGGGGATGACAAGATTCTTAACAGGAATAGAAACCACAGAAGTAGTAGGCGTGAAACAGGGGAAATTACATATATATTCAATTTGAAGTTCTAGTAGGAAATCTCAGGGGTTTTAGATAGGAAATCTAAGATACCTGTCTAGCTGGCTGTTGGAAATTTGAGACTAATTTATACACATGGAGAGGTTAAATGAAGCTGCAAGATTACCAGAGCAGGAAGAGAACCGGGCCAAGGATAGATCTTAGAGTGCACCTGGGTTTATGGTGTAGAATGAAGAAGAGGAATCAGAGAAGTGATCAGAGAAAGAGAGAGCATCCAAAAAGAAAGAAAACAGGAAAATACTGAGTCCTAGACACCAATAGAGAAGAAAGCATCAATAGAAAATTATGGAAGGTAAAGAAAAAGAATGGATATTGCATTTGGCACTTTAAATATCACTGCTGGTCGCTCACACTGGTTTCAGGAGGAGAGGAGCCAGGCTGTAAGGAATAGAGTGAGTCGCCATTCAAGAAACAGGATCAGTGTGTTTACATGAAGCAGACACATTATAGTAGCTACTACAATTAGTTTCTGCTCTGAAGTAGATTTTTTGTCTTCTTGTTTATCGTCATTTTTTTTCTCTAATCATATAGACATTAAGAATGGTATAAAGAGCTTAAGAAAAGTACAAAGAAGTTTATAGTGTCATTTACATAAAGAGCTTATTACAGTCATAAATTATATCTCATGATTTGCTTTAATGATTTGTGTTTTGTTATAAAAGTCCACCAAAAAACAAAAAAGCATCTCAAACCGTATTCTCCATTCTATGGAGATAGGAGTGAATATTTATTGACTACCTGCTTCTTTGAAATCAAATATTCGTATTTGAAAATTCAGTCTGCTAAACAGGATTTCTGAATGAAATAATTTCCAAAACGAAAAGTGGGTACCAGTCCTTTGATAGGACAGTGAATGATTAAATGGCCGATGGGCTCAATGAGGCATGAAAATTAATTCAGTGGATATGGGAAGAAATTCAAGTAACCCCTCAGAAATCTCTGTAATAATATTTATAATCCAAGAGCAAGGGCCACAGTAGTAAAAATGGCTGCTGCTTCTAAGAGCATAAACAGAATTAATTGGTAAGCTTCTTCAGGACAGGGGCTGTATTGTCTTCTCATTAAAGTTTTGCTATATTTCATATACTTTGGGCAGAAAATAGATGCTGTTTCCAGACTGCTTGAAGAATTTTCAGAGAGAATTGATTTTAAAAGGTGCCAGTAATATTGTACAATATCTGTCTGCTTCTTAGCCAGTCCTTATCTTAATTAAAGCGTTACTCTTTCTGCACAGACTCTGCATTGTTTAGACTTAAATCTTCCATCTGTTATCCTATTTTACCTTTCCATTTGAAATCAGATTGCACCTTGGTATCCTGTGACACACAGGAAATACTATCTGTGAGATATACAAAAGAAAGCCCTGAAAAGACCTGATTTCCACTTTTAGCAATGGAGGCAAATTCCTTTCAGCAGTAATATGTCCATCCTTGTTGACTTATTCCTACATGTGTAATTTTTATGCTAGATAATAATGACTTAATGATTTACATAGAAAATACGTCATAGAACATTCTGGGCACAAACTTAACATGTAAACAACATAACGAGCACCCCCTTTGGCTCTGGTTTTTTTCAAATGCAAGAAGGCAAACAAGTGGGTTTTTTAATCTCTCTTGGTAATTTTGATCAGTTAAGCACCTTCTAGTTACAAATCAATAAAAGCCTCTCCTTTCAATATGGTACATTCTACATGTTCAAACACTGGTTATTGTTTCAACAGTTAAAGTATTATTTTTCTATTTTGGAGCATTTTAAATATGTAATAATCAGGGACAAAAGCTTTTTATGCTGGTACTATAGACAATTAATTTACTTCTGGTCCCTGGAGTTATCTATCTAGCGCTTTTCTTGAAGAATTAAAAATATTGTTAATATTCATGTTTTTTATTAATATTAGTATTTTTCCCTTGAATACATATAACCTAAAAGAAGTCACTAAACAGAATATTTAGGATACAGGTGTAGAGTTTGGCCAGTTTTTACATGGGATATTTGACACTGATTTCTTAGTTTTAAATTTAGGTACTCTTTAAATGAAGTTCATTTGTGGAAACATAGCACAGGAGACATAGAGAACATATTGAATACATATCTTGTGAGAATTGGTAACATTTTTAAAAGCCTCTTATTAGTTTTGGCCATTTCACTTGACAAACAATTATTCAAAAGTTGCATGATTTTTACATTAAAATACTTTTTGTATGGTGCTCCTACTAAGAGCCAGGTGCCATATTACATGCTTTCCATGCATTATGTCTGTTCTTTACCACAGCTCTGCAGGGTGTTTACTATTAACACTGTTTTACAAATAAGACAGCTGAAACTCAGACTAATTAAGTGACTTTTCCAAGGCCCACAGTCAGTGTGTCTGACCTCAGTGCCTTTAATTTTTCTGTGCACCACTTTCCTTTCTGTATACCACATTGTTTCCTGTTCTCTAAGCATTTTTCCTCAAAATTATCACTTCTCATCCCCTGTCACAGGTATTTTTAAAAGCTTTCATTTATCTAAAAACTAACTGCTTTGATAGAAATGCTCTTTCTGCTGCTGCTGCTGCTACTTAGTTTTGCAGGCATTATTGTTCACTTTCATGAAGTCTGTTATAACTAGCCTGAACCTCAAGTAATAAACGCGTATTTAGGAGAATCTTTGAAAGATCCACTCCTCTTTCATAAAGACCTATAAAAAAAACAAGAATACATACTGCCATCTCTGATAAATATTTATTGAGCACAGAAGAGTCAAGATTTGAACATGAATAAAACCTAGTACCTAACCTCCAAAGGTATTCATCCTAGAAATGAAACAAACACAAACAATATGAAATACAAAGTAGTCGAAGATATACAAGCTATGGTGTGTACTAGAGGATAAACAGGTAAGGTAGGAATTTGTTCTTTCAGGGAATAGTGGGTGTATCTTTCTAGAACATAGGCCATATGAACAGGGCTTCTAAACTAAATTTATATGGAAAAGCATATACAGATTATGTAAGGAGATCTGCTGTAATATTGTGCAGTGTTGAATGACTGTCTCCGTTACAAGAGGTAAGCATAGAGAACCTTACTTGCATCTGTATTTGGCACCAACATTAGCACTTAAAACCTTCAGTGGACTATTCAATCAAGCTTGGGTCATTTGTTCTTCTGCAATAACAATAATAGTCCCCTAAGTAGAGCGAGCCTTAAAACAAATAACGAGTTTATGACTAATTAAACATATATTTAGTTTAATACATTTTTTAAGTAGTATCATTACCATTTTTATAAATACTGTGATGATGATGTTAGTGATTGCTGTTATTCCACTTCCAGGATAAGAAAAATAAACATGGTATGTAGGATGTGACAACTCTTGGGTTCCAAAGCAATGAGGCTTCATGGGCCATCTTTTGTGCCCTCCCTGTCAGATCTAGAAAAGAATTCCCCATTATACATTTTAGGACAGAAATCATAAGTCCTTTTATTATATTCAGGAAGACACTGTTTATAGCTATATTTTCATCTTCTCTCTTCTAATAGGGGAGTTTATCAAAGCTTTGTATGAGTCAGATGAGAACTGTGAAGTGGATCCCAGCAAATGTTCATCTAGTGAACTGATAGACCATCAGAGCAACCTGAAAATGTGCTGTGAGCTGGCTTTCTGCAAGATCATCAACTCTTACTGGTGAGCTTATCTCATCCTCTGCCTGTGGAACATCTTTTCATGTAAAAGTCATCACAATGTTAACAATTATTTTACAACCAAAGGGGAGGGTCTTGGAGAGAAATTGAAAGTTTCCCGAATACAGTCCCATCTAAAATTGAAATCTCCATTGTAAGCAGAAGTACTTTTTAACTGGCTATCTACATAAATATAATCTCTCCCCAGAATATTAGTACTATAGCCTCTAATATCAAAAGTATTTCTTTTTATTTCTAAAATATTTACTAGTGTTGAACAGATGTGTTCATGAATTTTGATCATTGCACTAACTCTAGCAATTGGTGAAACTTTGGAAGATTTTTGATGAACAGTCTTTGGAGAGACTATGGTGAGTTATACTAAACCAGATGGTTTAGTCAGGAGCCTCATGCCATTTTCCCACTTTGCAAAACTAAATTTAAACTAATCCAGAGTTTTGTAGCCTTGGGTTTCCAGTCTCCATCTGGCCTCTGAATTTTTCCACCGCCTCTCAGCCATGAATCAGGTAAAACCTCATCCCAGAATTTCTACTAGGTCCTCCTCACAGCCTGACTCTTAAGCAGAGATATGTTGGGTCAGGGTGGAATCACTTGTGCTTTGGGTTCTGGTACTTCTGTGTTTAGAGGTTTTGGTACTTTTTTCCTTCCCTAGTGTTTTCCCTCGTGAGTTGAAAGAAGTGTTTGCATCATGGAAGCAGCAGTGCCTGAACCGTGGCAAGCAAGACATCAGCGAGAGGCTCATCAGTGCCTCATTATTTCTCCGTTTTTTGTGTCCAGCCATTATGTCTCCCAGTCTTTTCAACCTTATGCAGGAGTATCCTGATGACCGCACATCTCGGACTCTAACTCTTATTGCCAAGGTCATTCAGAACCTGGCCAACTTTGCCAAGTAGGTGATACTATTGTAACCACTTTAAAAACACAGTTTAAAAAATACTCGAGGCCTAAAATTTGGATGAGGGTTGGGAACCTCATCACTCATGTTACCAGATTTTCACTGTGATATTAATAAATATAGCAAAAAATTGGAAACAAGTTAAATAATCACTTCATAGAGGAGTGGTTAAGTAACCTATGATACATGCATTTAATGGAATATTTGCAGGTACTACAAGCTGCTTACAAAGACTATCCAATAATATAGAGCATTAAGATAAAATTAAATTAAAAGTGCTGATAAAAATGCTTTAGTAGGAAAAAAAAGGGTAGAATAAAAAGTGGTATGTATACTGTTACCCCAGCAATATGAAAATACAAAAATCTAACTATAAAAAAAGTTGGGAAGAAAAGACAAATTATGTGGTTACATTGTCTAAGACAATTATCCTGACCACTTCAAAAAAGACAATTTTATGAAAAATGCAAAAGATGGAGGGGGGCTGTTCTAGATTAAAAGAGATTAAATGCAGTACTTGAAACTTATTTGGATCTTAAGTTGGAAAAAATATATGTCCTTTTGGGGGCAATGGGTGGAATTTAAATATAGACTGTAGATAAGATAATTCGTGAATAGTGTTTTTAAAAGTTTTAGTGTGATAATGGCATTGGTTTATGTAAGAGATATTCCTTATTCTGAAGAAATGGACACTAAACTATTTAGAGGTGATGTCTGCAACTTGGTTTAAAATGGTTCCAGAAAGAAAAAAAAAAAAAATCTGTATAGAAAGAGAGGGTGTGAAAGCAAACTTGGCAAAAATAACAGTTGGTTAATGTAGATGAAAGGCATATGGGTATTCATTGTATATTCTTTCAACTTTTCTGTAGGTTTAAAATTTTTCAAAAGAAAATTAGGAGAAAACAGTTGGGAAGGAAATGTACTAAAATATAAACAGCAGATATATTTGGGTAGCTTGAATGAGACATCCACACTTTTTTCTTTCTACTTTTCATTGTTTCAAACTTTTTTCAGTAAGTTTATGTTATTTTTATAATTTATAGAAAATAAGTTAAAGAAATGGCTGGGAAGGAATTCACATTTACAAAATTGACCAAGATTTATTCAATATTGATGCTTAAAAACAAGTTTCTATTAGCAATGTATTGAAGAAAAAAAAAACGAGCAGATTGTTTTCTAGTATAAATAGTGGCTTTTTAGAGGTGTACTATTTTAATTTTGTATAATTTATATATAAGCCAATGCAGAAATACACATATTTATCCATATTTGAGCTAAAAAATATTTATATTTTATTTTGGAACAGGTTTTATGGACTTAAACTAGGCCCTGAAGATAGGTAGAATCTAGATAGGCAAAGGAAAGAAGTTTTTCTCTAGTGCAAGTAAATAGCATGGGCAAAAGCTTGGAGAAGACAAAAATGTATAATATATTTGGGAGACTTTGAAGAAACTAGCAGTATTGAAGGTTTGTACTGGTGAGCATTTGGTAGGTAAGTGAGGCCTATATTACAGAGAAATTCAAATACCAGAAGTAAAAAAAAAAAAAAGAGGTTTGGCTTTACCCTTTAGAGAATAGAAAGCTATTCAAAGCATTGGAATATTAAAGTGATATTAAGAAAGTATGTTATAGCATTTATTACTTATAGATAATAAAATTAGTCATTCCCTCCACAAAATTAAAAAAAAAATGTCATAATTCTGTGTAAAGTCAAAGCAAAATGATCATCTCTCTCTTGAATATGTTCTTTCTCATTTTCTCATCCTCTACTTCAGGTTTGGTAACAAAGAGGAATACATGGCATTCATGAATGATTTTTTAGAACATGAATGGGGTGGAATGAAGCGCTTTCTTTTGGAGATCTCTAATCCAGACACCATCTCAAACACCCCAGGCTTTGATGGTTACATTGATCTGGGCCGAGAGCTTTCAGTTTTGCATTCCTTACTGTGGGAAGTAGTTTCCCAACTTGATAAGGTAAAGTAGGTTGACGGAAGATAGAGACTTTAATGTACCTGAATTCTGGAAAGTACCTATAGAGTGATAGCACTCACTCTTTCTGCTAATTGAAAGCAACCTTTTACCCTAGAAATCTGAGAGTGGTCATCATTTCTGAGTAAAATATGGGACCGACAACCGTGAAATTCTAGAAAACCATGACATTATTAATATATGTTTTTAATATTTATCTGAATTAATGGAGTATATTTCTCTAAATTTATATATACAGAGTGCATATCTGAAAACTTTATTAGAAACTAATATATTGGTATATACAGCCTTATGCATGTCTAATAGGATAAGATGAAACCTCATATAGTAACTTCTAATAAAAGTATAGATTTAGCTAAGAAAGTACTAGGTTTATCATGTTTTAAGTAACTTTGCCCATGAAGCAAATTTTTTTACTATACAAGTCATAGAGTTTCATATAATTATTAGTGCTAAAAATCACTGTTTTCTTTCTTTACAGATGTGAATTAAGAATACAGAAAACAATTATTTTTAATCATTTGTTTGCTAAGAATTTTATTATGTACCGTATTAATAAGTAAATATACACCATGCCAATCATTTTCTTCCTTCTGGAATTTAACAAAAAGGAATAGATTTGGTAGTAAAAAATAGTCTAATAGACTTTGGCTAGGCCTATTACAATAATTATTTATTGATGTTTTTGTTTGCTACAGGCATTTTATAAATATGTGTGGTGGTATGTTAGAATAACTTCAAAAGACAGTTATTTTTCTGTGATAATGATTTGTTTTCCTCTATTTTCCTATCAATAAAAGTGATATACCAGTAAAATTTGAAGGGGAATAAAACGTATTAACAAAGGCCATTTTGCTGAGGAAACGTAAGTGGTAGTGTGTCCTCCAATGCTTAAAACATTTGGGAAACAGTAAACTGTTCCTTATTCTCGAGGACATTTTTTCACTTTTAGAAATGCTAGCTAGAGTTTTAAGTTGCAACTATGCCAAAGGTAAATCCTTTTCATATGAATCATAGCCCAACATTGTTGAGCAAGTAAAGGCATTGGTGGCATCTATACCTGTTTGAGTAGGGTAAAAGAGTCTGTTGATTGTTGAGAAGGCAGAGACCCAAAGGCAGCTATGTCAAACTGACTGACAGTTGAAGGGGACCCCTAAGACCCCATGAGAGTAAGAATTCCCTAAAGAAAAAAATGATTGAAATGGATAAAGCAAGTATTAAAGAGTTAGTCTTTGTTGAATAACTGCATCTCAGTGGGATGCAGGTTCAGTTTTCCTGTGAAATGGGCTTGGTTTATTCAGGATCAAGGTCTTTTTAACGCACTTTGCTGTGTAAATACACTTTCTCCTTTTTAATCTGTGTTTGGTCCTGGGAACCAGGAATACATCTAGACATATCTCATAGAGAAAGTTTACCTGATTTTATTGTTAAATTAACAACAAAAATTGTCTTTCTGATGGAAACTCAGTTGGCAGTGGGTCAGGATTCCCGAGATTGACTGGGATAGTGGATGGCAGTATCATCTGTGTGCCCTGCAGTACTCTGGATTCCTGAATGCAGCACCTTCTTATATGTTGGCATGCATTTCTTTTCTCACATGATCCCTTTTCTTTGAAAGTTTATCATACTAGCTGATCCTCTGGTCTTGAAGTTCTTTTGGTTAGAAGGAATTTGGTTCTTCCTCTACCCTCCCCCACCTTGATCTACTAGCCTCCCAGAGATTTAGTTTGCTTCGCATGTCTATTTTAGTTGGAATGGCATTAGTTTGGTAGTTTTGAGCATGTCTTTTAATTTTTATTTGCATAATCCTGATTTCAATTTCCTTTCTTTCCTCGATGTCTGCTGCACCCTGTTTCGCCTCCTCCATTCATCTCGACGCCATGGTTCTGCTGCTCCATAACAATGCATTATGAACCTGCCACTCCCATATGCAAACACCTACCCTTCCCTCCAACCTACACCCCTCCATCAATGGCCATCGTTGTGCCAAAAACAATCTATGGTGGATGTCGCAATGCTTATTATCCAATTAGGGTGAAAATTCCTTCCTACAGGCGACCGTGGCAAAATTGGGGCCTCTCCCTCGTGTTCTTGCTGATATTACCAAGTCATTGACTAATCCTACGCCAATACAACAGCAACTGAGACGCTTCACTGAACATAACTCCAGTCCAAATGTCAGTGGAAGCCTCTCCTCTGGGCTGCAGAAAATATTTGAAGACCCCACTGACAGGTATGAAAGAGAGGACGTGACCAATATCTCAGAGAAATATAATGTTCAGATTTAGCAGAAGTATATTCAACCTATTTTTTGAATTTACAAGTTTAAAATCATAAGCAATTGAAGACTCATCTGACCTGAGAGCAGTTCAATTATTTGTCATCATAATGCACAAGATCTGGGATAACTTATTTTCTAGAATGGTAGTATAGAGAGTTATAATATATTCCCCAGCATATTTTAAAAATTTCTGTCTTGCTTAGTGGAAGACCAAAGGCTTTATGAAATTCATGTTTCTATACGTTATAGCATTCAAAAACCATGGAGAACCTCGGTGAAAACCATTTTATAGCTGGCTATGTCAGCTGGACAGGTAGATACAATGTTGATGCTTAGACTGTGTTATGGATTGGCAAGACTTGTGCCTTTAGCAGGGACCTTGCAGTTGTGTACTTAGAACTTCTCTTGAAGGTTTAGATAAGTAAGTATGAATTGGAATATTTCAGGAAGGTTTAAAACCTAACTAGGAAATTATTGGAATCCTGGTTAAAACTGAAGACAGTGATGGGCTGGTATCTACAGTGTTATTCTCTACTTTTGGGGAAAAAGTAAAAATGCTGGATTTTATTCTAACAATTGTAATAATTCCCTAATTATATAAAATCTGAGTTTCCAAAGAAATGTATGTATCCACATAAGAACCTTCAGAGGAGTTCACATGCCTGAATTGAGGCATCTTAGCCATGTTGAAGTTGTCTCAAGAGAAATTAAGTGTCCTTTCCTTTTCCACAGTGATTTGCATAAACTAAAATCTCCAAGCCAGGACAACACAGACAGCTACTTCAGAGGGAAAACATTATTGCTGGTTCAGCAAGCCTCCTCTCAGAGCATGACTTATTCTGAAAAGGATGAAAGGGAAAGTAGCCTTCCTAATGGTCGGAGCGTCTCCCTCATGGACCTCCAGGACACTCATGCTGCTCAAGTGGAGCATGCATCTGTCATGCTTGATGTGCCTATACGCTTGACCGGAAGCCAGCTTTCCATAACCCAGGTGGCCAGCATCAAACAGCTGCGGGAAACCCAGAGCACTCCCCAAAGTGCACCCCAAGTGAGAAGGCCCCTGCACCCAGCCTTGAACCAGCCAGGTGGCCTTCAGCCCTTGTCATTCCAGAACCCTGTCTATCACCTCAATAACCCAATTCCAGCAATGCCAAAGGCCTCTATAGATTCCAGTTTGGAGAACCTAAGCACTGCCAGTTCCAGAAGCCAAAGTAACAGTGAAGACTTCAAGCTTAGTGGACCCAGCAATAGCAGCATGGAAGATTTCACTAAACGTAGCACTCAGAGTGAGGACTTCTCCAGGCGGCACACTGTGCCAGATAGACACATACCTCTTGCTTTGCCACGACAAAATAGTACTGGGCAGGCCCAGATCCGAAAAGTGGACCAGGGTGGGTTAGGTGCCCGAGCCAAAGCCCCACCATCCCTGCCACATAGTGCTTCCTTACGTAGCACTGGGAGCATGTCAGTGGCGTCCGCAGCCCTGGTGGCCGAACCTGTGCAGAATGGGAGCCGGTCCCGGCAGCAATCCTCTTCCTCCAGAGAGAGCCCTGTTCCCAAAGTGAGAGCAATCCAGAGACAACAGACACAGCAGGTAGGCGCGAGTGCTGAAGGGGCGTGGCTTCTACTTGGTCCATCTGTTGCTTTGGTTCTTTATACGTAAATCATTGGGAAATCCTATTGTTAACAATATTTCCACTTAAAAGCAACCTTTAAATGGAAAGAGGAAAGGAAAATTTGGGGAAGCTTCTGCCTAAGTGAGACTGCAGAATGAAGTTTGACTCATTACCCTTAAAAGTCTAACAAACACGCAGGGGCCCCCTTCTCTTCAAGCAGCAGAGCTACTACCTCAGTTTACACTTAGAACAAATCGGTGATGTTGAATGAATAATTAGATACTTAAAATCTGTAGGCAAAACCAACTATTATTTTGGGAATCTGAAAATTAATCCCTCTTAATTTTTTTTCTTAAGCTTCCAGAATAAAGGTTTGCATTCTGAGCCAAGAGTTTAATGTGACTGCTCTCCATTCCATCCCTCAACTCTCTCTGGAAATACAAAGTCCCATGTGCCTTTTCCTGGAAATGGCTAGAAAAATAAACACTTGAACACATAGAGAGTCAAGGTAAAGGAAAGATTAAAAAGATAGAAGCACAGGTGGAAAAGGAAGTATTCTGAACATTTGCAGATCCCTTACATTTCTATTTACATGGACAAGCCCAGCTCACATCACATCCAATCATAATATAAGATTTTCTGATTTTTTTCTTGACAAATAAAAAGCTTTGCCCAGAAATTAATCATTTCTTCCTTACATATTACATTTTGAAGCATCAATACATATTTTTTCCTTTGAAACAAACTACTGTTAAATATATATATACACATTCATGTAATTTTTCATATATATAATATATATCTTTTTATATCTTTCATCTAAAAAGATTTTTCTCCTGAAAAAGCATTGTGTTAGTTGAATTTTTTTTGAAACCTAATGATAGTACTAGAAAGTTTGAGATTAAAAGAGTTCTATGACAAATCCTTTTATGCAGCAAAATAACTGGGGAGGGAGACTGCAATAAAATCCTAATTTGTATCTGTAATATATTTGCATTTTTACAGTTTAGGCACTTCCTGATATGGCTGCGTCTGCCTCCAGTCTGCTATGATCAGAGCCCCTTACACCTACTTTGATTTTTTTAATTGGATTATTTATAGAATCCTTGGATACAGAAATAGAAGAAGGGATGAAAAGCATGACTAACTTAAACTGTTTCTGGAAGCAGACTTCCTGGGCTAAACCTCCTACTTGGTCATTTTTTACTGAGTACTAAAGTTTTTCTACAGTCTTAAATTTTTCATTTTTATTTTGTTATATTTCCCAAAGATTTACCAAATTGTTTAATTTAGTAAGCATTTGTATTTGAAGAAAAGGAAAAATATGTATCTTTTATATGTATCATATGTATTTTTTATACATAAATGTGTGTGTATATATAAACATAAAATGTATGTGTTAGGAGGCTATCAGTCATGCCCACCTTATTGTGAAGTAGTTTCCTCCCATCACTTTTGTGCTAGACTCTAGTTGAGATCAACTACTTTCAGAGAATTAAGGTGTTCATTGGGTGGAGAAAGGAAAAATACATAATTTTAGAAATCAGAATACTATGTAGAAGCACATATCTACTCAGGGACTTAGAGCAGCACAAGGGCACTGAAGATAAGATTAATGAAGGGCATGAGATCTGGCAGAGAGGGACAGGACAGGAAAAGTGTCCTCCACCTGCTTTTCAAAAGTGTGCTTAGGCCCAGCCCTGTACAGAAAAGGAAAATAAAGATTCTTTTTTTTATTCTGCTTACCCTTTCCTTCTGTATCATGGAGTCCTCTGTGACTCCATGAAGGCCCATGACTCAGGCTGATTGTTTATTAATATTATAAATTACATAGCCTTTTTTGTGGTCATCTGGAGCCAATTGTCATTTATAACATTTTTTCTTTAGGAAAATGTAATAGCTATCACATAAGCACATAATAAATGTTTCTGTGGGTTATAAATAGAGGACTGCCTGAATGGATGGGAGGTGAGAAATGCATACAGTCTCCAAACAACCAATATAAAAATTAGTTTTTGTGTCACAGCCATTAATAAGTCACATATATATTTTTTGGCATGAAGTGGGGTACAGGCACAGTGAGATGTCCAGGTACAGCTTTGAATATTAATCTTAGTTTATACTTTTGCTGGTGGTGCCACTGTCATATCAGTTGAAGCATAAATCACTTTATTTTGATTGTTCAAGTTTCTTTTTTTTTTTTCCTACACTGGCTTTTGGTTCATTGTTTTGAACTTACATCGTTAGTTTTTTGCTTTTTTTTTTTTTTCAAAACAGAGTCTTGCTCTGTTGCCTAGGCTGGAGTGCAGTGGCGTGATCTCAGCTCACTGTAACCTCCGCCTCCCGGGTTCAAGCAATTCTCCTGTCTCAGCCTCCTGAGTAGCTGGGATTACAGGTGCCCGCCCCTACGCCTGGCTAATTTTTGTATTTTTAGTAGTGGCGGAGTTTCACCACATTGGCCAGCTTGGTCTCGAACTCCTGACCTCAGGTGATCCACCTGCCTTGGCCTCCCAAAGTGCTGGGATTACAGGCATGAGCCACCACGCCTGGCATAGTTTTTTATTTCTTATCTTTCTGTTTCTTGCTTGCTTTGTTCATCTCACTCCCATGAAGCCTCTGAAGTTCTATATAATCAGCACATTTTTAAGGCAAATTCCTTTACATATTTTAATTGCAAATTGTGTTGGGGAATTCTCTCCCAGAAACTAGAGGATTTCTTTGTGGAGATTGTTCTGTAGGTGGCTGTAATTATCAGTAGCTTTGTGCCTGCAAATTCCATTTATATCTCAGCACAAAGTAGTGGCCATTGTCTGCACAGTAACTGGCTTCGGTCTTCTACGTCTAATGAGTAGGAAGGAAATAAAATCCTGGTGAAAAAATTTACAGATAAATTTTTTTTCAAGAAACTGTCTTAATTTTTTAACCCATTTCAGCCTCTGTTTGGATTGCTTTTTTCTTATTTTCCTCTCTATTTTGTTTTTTATGTATCATGTACTTTGTACAAATAATAGACTTTTTGTATAATATATGAGTCATTCAGATTTATCATGTACCCTAATCTTAGAAATTTGAATTTGAAGAGACCTTTTAAAATAGATAATTGACAAGTCTATTAATATGATGCTGCAGTTTTCACATTTGGATTTGTTGAGCTGTCTCCTAACCAACCTCTTCAAGAACTCCCAAAGTTTATGGATTAATTTAATCAGCCCTTTCTTTGGTATTCATAGCAGAAATTCGTTTATAGGAATCCGACTATTTCACACTCTGAAGCTGAAACCAATTGGTCTTGTTTATATCTAGTAAATACTAGCAAGGAACAAGGAACTGGCCTCAGCATAGCCAGGCTGTGACTAATTGTAGTCTCAGTGAAACTGCTGCGTCAGGCTCTTTTGCCCTAAAGCATTACTGTTTTTCCAGGGAGACCCTATGCAGCTTTATCTCAAAGGGAAGATATTCCTAATGGGAATTCCTGTTGTATAGCTCCATAAATGATTGTTAAAAGGATATTATCTGTTGTTTAGATTTTGTTGTTTTTGTTTCATTATCTTTGATGATCATGTTGAAAGTGGATATAAATTCTCTTTCTAAGGCTATTCCTAGGCAAGATGGGATCTGAACCACTTACCTCCTCCCTCAATTTCTTGGACTATAAACTAGAGATATTTTTTGCTGTTTATCCGGCTTATAAGGAGATGGAACAATCATTGAAAAGAATCCTTTGGTGCCCTTCCAAAGGATTAGGGGAAAAACAGAGAATATTCTCTTAGTAATAAATTATATTTTAGTAATTAATTCTAAAGATAATCCAGAATAATAAATGAATAATATTTTATTGAGTATCTGTTGTGCATTTAACTAGTCAGTATCATTTAAAAGAACTGTATGATATGATGCCTGTTAGATTGACTAATTGGAAAATAAGAGCAACACTTATAAGACCAAGAATATATAAAAGATAGTATATAGTTTTTTCATTTGAAGAACATATTACAACAAAAAAAAATCATGAAACAAAAATCACCTCTGTTTCCTTTCAATCCAGCACAATAACTATTTTTTATTTATTCAATATTTCTAGCCTTTTTACAATTTTGTGAAGACTTTATCATTAATAGAAGGAATAGTTAGGATTGATCTATTTTGTCACTTTTATTTTTATTATTTTGACCACCTACTGTATGCCAAGGAAAGTGCTAGGATATATTAGGAAGTGGCTGAAAATAAGATTTGACCAATAAAATAGTAGAAATTTCTAGAAGTTCATTCACAATTGCTTAGTGTGTACATGTCTATTTATATAAACTATGCACATCCATCCTCAGACATGAAGCTATTTTTATTGATATATATCAATAATCTGTAAATGAGCTAAACCAGATCCTTCTTCACATCTTTAAGAAATGTCCCTGTGTTACTTTTGCATGTGCAAGTTTTAAAGTCTCTCCCAACCCATCTCTGATAACCTTTTAGTCTCTGCAGTCAGTTTTTTAATCTGGTCTTCCTCACTCTCCAGTTTATCAAAATACCCCTTCTTTTAAAATATTTATTTAGAGTTTAACTGAGTTCTATTTCAGAATGATAGAAAGATCCTTAAGATGTAATAGCTGTGATGGGAGAGAAAATGCCCTTCAATTATGAAATTATAGAATTCTGGTCCTCAAAATGCAAATCCCTCTATTTAATTATAAAAGGCTAACTCACATGCCAAGTTTTGCACTCTCTCTGTAGCTTACTCTCTCTTTCTGAGGCAGGACAGATGGGGAAAAACTTGTGTGTTTCCATCATTGTTTGTGGGGAAAGTACTAATGTTCAGTAGCCTAATATAAATTGTAATATCTAGTGCCAGTTTTTGAAACATAAATATAGTAATGACTGACATCTAACCTCTCTGTAGCACTCTGAAGTTTCCAAAGAGTTTTCATATATATTGTCTTATCCTCACAGCTCCCTATGAGATGATCGAGATAGGTGGTAGTGACAGTGTTGGTATCTCTATTCAGTAGATTAGGAAAATAGACTACCCAGTATCCATCGTTTTGATCCTGTATTCAAGAAATTTTCCAGTATAAGGACCTTTGAGTGGTCTTAATCTATCATGAAGTCAGTGTTCTGTAAAGATAACCAGCATCACTTGTCCTTCTTTTTCTCTAAATCATTAATATGAAAACTAAGTAGATTGGTGCAAAAGTAATTGTGAGTTTTGCCATTTAACCCACAATTACTTTTGCACCAACCTAATATTTGCCATTCTGATTATAAATGGGCACTTTGTGAGTTTGTTTAGCACTAATCAGTTTTTTGGTTTCTGATTGTGTCTAGGCTAAACAGATGTTTTGACCATCAGGTTATGCTTTCTTCCTGTTATTTTATCATCAATAGACTTTTATGGTAGAGGTCATTTATTAATTTCAGCAGGCAATTTGTTACCTACCAGTATTTGCACCACTGGGCAAATTAACAATTTTAAGGCTTTGACTTTCTTTAGAGGGAGAATAAGGATGCCTTTTGGATATGTTATATATAACTTTCTATTCAGAATGGTTTGCACTTATATAAATGTATATTCTCTTTCCCTACCCCTAGCCTTGGCATTAGTAGAATAATACTTAAAGCTAAGAGCATTAATTAGAAAACTGAGAGATCACAGTTAACATCTTCCAAGAATAGCTGTTTGTGAAACATAGCACATGGGTGAGCTGTTAGGGGAAATGCTAATAACTGTTTCTGATGCAGGTTCAGTCACCTGTGGACTCTGCCACAATGTCCCCAGTAGAGAGGACAGCAGCCTGGGTTCTGAACAATGGGCAGTATGAAGAGGATGTGGAAGAAACTGAGCAAAATCAAGATGAAGCCAAGCATGCTGAGAAGGTAGAACCTAGTCTGCTTCATTGACTTGCTGATCCCAAAATGGCAGGCCTCTAAAAGGATTATCTAGCTAAGAACATGAACTCCTCCCACCCCCATCTTCACCTCTACCCCTTATGTTAATCATCCTACACATATCTGTGTAAAATAGGTCCATGGTGTGTGTGGATGTGTGTGTGTGAATATACGTGGAAAATGTTCATCTTGCTGGGGGGTGGCAGCTACTATTTTTATTTTTAATGTAGATGCCTTAATCTAGAGAACACTCTGCTATTCATTTCTAGTCATTTTAGGTAAATATTTCATGTTTCCATAAACTTGTTGGTCTTCACCCAAGGACAAAATCACCCTAGGGGAAGACTTTTTTTTTATCTTGGTAACAATTTGGTTTTGATTTTAGTTTAGTTTTGTTTTGTTTTCGTTTTTTTGTTTGTTTGTTTGTTTGTTTTTGCCTTTTCTGGATAAAGAATGTATAACTCTATAGATGATTGTTAAAAGGATATTATCTGTTGTTTAGATTTTGTTGTTTTTGTTTTTTAAAGAAAAGTTGACAAGGAGAAAAAGGGTTATCAAACAAGAACCTTGACATCATATATAGAATTATATTATTTAATTGGCAACCAGACAATTAGCTTCTTTTTATCAGCATGATGATTCCAGTGTACTCAAACCCCAGCCACAGCAACTACAGTACAGGAAAGGGCCATGTAACTAATGGAGTCACTGAATTTATGTGAAGCTTCTTAGAACACAGACATGTATGTTCCAGCAGGCAGTACAAAATTGGGCAGGTGAGTCATATTATGAAAATGGGCCAAGAAGCAATATTAATTGGCCCTAGAGAACATGTAGGCCTTTGTTTAGTGCTGTGACTGGAATATTTTACACTTTTATAGTTGGGAAGAAAGCAGCAATAACCTCTGCCATGAAAGTCTATTTATTGATTTAGAGGGTTAACATTATAGAAATGTTGCTTGTTTCTAAAGGGGTGATTCTAGTAGAACAAAGGAATGGCAGTCTGATGAGCTAAGACACGTCAGAGATCCTACAGTGCAGATGATGACACAGAATCTTTTTTTCTTATAGACAACTGACTTTTGGCTTATTTTAAGTGATTTGTCAGACTTTTAAGTACTTCATCTATTTTTTTTTCCTCTCTCATTTGATACCGTCACAGATTGGATGTGGCTTATACCAATGGTAGCCTCGTGTAGAGAGAGATACATACATATGTAGAATTTGGAATGCCAAGTTAAGATTTAAAATGTAATTTTAGTAAGGAAGGCAATGCTCCATTAACATTTATGCCAGTTGATAATTTTAAAGAATATTAAGAACAGTATAGGGAATGACAGCACAGCCAGCATCTAGCTACACTGCTTAGGGTTTCTTTTGTTAAAAAAAAAAAAAAAAAAAAAAGGAAAGAAAAGAAAATCATTGATTTCTAAAAGCAATGTAACTCCAGTTTTTCTCTCCTTGCCTCGTCTGCCCTAGTATGAACAAGAAATTACTAAACTGAAGGAGCGCCTGAGAGTGTCCAGCCGGCGACTGGAGGAATATGAACGCCGCTTGCTGGTGCAGGAGCAGCAGATGCAGAAGCTGCTGCTGGAATACAAGGCCCGACTGGAGGACAGCGAGGAGCGGCTCCGAAGACAGCAGGAAGAGAAGGACAGCCAGATGAAAAGCATAATCAGCAGGTTAGACATCACCTGGCAGCAGATGTGGGCTAGTTAGGGAGACAAAGAATTGAGATGATCCACAGAACCTTGAAGGAATGGCAGCAAAAGCTATTTTTATCCTTGTTGTACTGAGTACAAATGTGATGATTGACTGTATCTCTTAAAATATCCTAAATATGAGACCTTGGGCACTTCCTATGAAGGTAATCTGTTTTTCTTTAACCATAACAATTAGAAAAAACTAAAACTTGGTGATTTACTTGAGAAATCTTAGAGAACTGGGTTTTAAAAATGTAAATATCCAATGCCCAAGACTAAATTAATCTTTCAAAATGAGTCCAGAAATATGGAAAGGAATTTTATGGAATATCTTTGGGGCCAGAGGACCTCTTTTGAGAGTGCTGCAGATGCCAAGGGAGAAAAAGGGAGGGTAAAGTTTACCAAACACTTGTATAGCACTCACCATGGGACACACACCTTTCTAAGCACTTTACACATAATAGTTTGTTTAATCTTTATCACAGCCTCCACCTACGCATTATTATTCTCGTTTTACAAATAAAGAAACAGGCAACAAATTCATTAAGTCACTTGCCCAAGGTCACATAGTTAGTGATGCACCAGGATTTGAACCCCGGACTCCAGATTCCATGCTCATAACCACTATGCCTCAATATTTGTAAAATGCTATGGACAAGTCAAGTAAACAGAACTGTTTGTTGTTTAAATAGTGTGGAGGTAATTGACCATCTTACTGAGAGGTGTTTGGGTAGACTGGCAGAATTAAACATCAATGAGTTAAGATGTGAATGGTGGACAGGAAACAAGCTAGACATACTATGTATAGAGTACTCATTGAGGAAACTTAGCTGTGCAATGGAAGAGAAAGTGGGCCAGGTATAGGGTAACTTGAGATTAAGAGAGGGTTGTTTGGTTTTTGTTGATTTGATATTTTAAGATGAAATAAGTTGTGCTCAGGAAGGAATCTGAGAGAGATGAGGGAGGAAATGATTATGGGATTACTGTTCCAAAGGAGATGAAAATGTGTGGGACCCAGGCACAAGGAGAAAAATTGACCTTAGATGTCTTATTCCAAGGTGGCAGAGAAGAAAGAAAAGATGGTTGCAGGTGTCTTATTAAGAAAGGCAGAGGATATTGAGTTTTCCTGTTCTCTACACTAGTTAGCCCTCTCTTTGAAGATGTTGATATTTCCTCCCTGCCACATTCTAGGCTAATGGCTGTGGAAGAAGAACTGAAGAAGGATCATGCTGAGATGCAAGCAGTTATTGATGCAAAGCAGAAAATAATTGATGCACAGGTAAGCAGGCTTTGAATCTAATAGAAGGCACTTGTTTATAATAACTATTATTTCCTGACTTCACACCCTTGCAAATGCCAAGGCAGGTACCAGAAAATGGGTCATTGAAAAGTTCTGGACATTACGTTTTGAAGATTAAATGAGTGTCTATGTGACCTCCATTACTTTTCCTTTCTTTCACTGGTGAGAAGTCTGTTTACTCAGCAAAGTATTAGCGTGTTTAGTGCAGTTGCTTGACAAATCTCAACCTAGTGCATGATGCGGTTTGCTTCTTTCCTTATGGAAAGGAGGGCATTTTCTAAGGGGGTAATTGTGAAAAGTGCACTGCATGTGTCTGGCTTGTGACCTCCACTGACCATTGCTTGGCTGTGCTGTTCATGGTCTTGTCAGTCACGTCCACTGCCATCAACCTTTTGCCCCAGACAGTAATGGAATTGCCAGGGAAAGACAAGGTTGTAAAAAGGTACCTTTCCTTGTTGTTGTTTTGGTTTAGGGTTTGGCATTGCTGCTTGGAATGTGCTTGGCCGCTCTTCTTTGTTGGTGCTGTGCTTAGAGAGCATCTTTTGATAAAACTTTAAAAAAAGAAAAGGTTGTTGAAATCAGAACCTAGGCTTCTGCTCACTGTAGCTCACACCTGTGACACCAATGAGATAAAGGCTGCCAAGAGCACCTCATAGGGACATGTCAATGATTAGAGCAAAATCCAGGAGGCAAGAAATGTTTCTAACTCCTTTTTATTTTATCATTGCAAAATATGGTTGTATTTCTTATAGTGAAGCAAATAACAAAAAGCAGGTACAGTTTTGATAGTTTTGATAGTGGCTGATCTAGACACTGAATGGGTTGCTTCCCTGAAGATAGCCAATCTAGGTTTGCATTTTTCAACCTTAAATGCCATATCATAACCCTAAGCTGTGAAATAAAAAATGAGAGCAAGGATTTGATGCATAGATAGCCTACTCCCTTCTCTAGGTATCAGCTAGTAATCAACATATTTTAGAGCCCTCCGTATGCTTAAACATATACTTAACAGTCTAGATTCCTTACAGAGTCCATGTGGAATGGGGTTTATTTTTCAACAAAATTGAGAGTGAGGCTGAAAGCGCAGTCATGGAAAGAATGCTTTATGGGCCTCACACTTCTTTAAACACAGTAGACTTGGAAGTCAGGTGAGAGTTGTGAGGATGCTGTCTCAATCAGCACAGTTCCTTAAAATATTTTGGATTCTTGACCTCTATTGTTTCTGGATACTTAGACATGCTGAGAATCAGAAGAAAGGTCTGTAGTAATTATCTTACTTGGTCCTTTGAAGGAAATCTTTCTAGATGCCCCCAGGGTAGGTGAGGTAAGGGTACTGGAGACTAGGCCATCTCACTATTCACACTATAAAAATTCATCCCAGAGACTTAAGAAAAACTGCCTGGATAAATAAGGCAATTGAGTCAGGAAAACTAATGTTGGTAGGTTTTCACTTTGGAAATTTCAATATAGCAATATAAAGCAAGAAAAGTTCTATCAATAACCACACAAGGAGAGATGTTAGTGCTAAGCAATAAAATACTTTTTAAATAATTTCAGCTGGTTTAAAAGTATCATTCTTGGCCAGGCAAGGTGGTTGATGCCTGTAATCCCAGCACTTTGGGAGGCTGAGGCAGGCATATTGCTTGAGCTCAGGATTTCGAGACCAGCCTGGGTAACATGGTGAGACCCATCTCTACAAAAAATGCAAAAATTAGTCAGACATGGTGGCTCATGCCTGTAAGTCCCAGCTACTTGGGGGGCTGAGGTGGGAGGATAGCTTGAGCCCAGGAGGTCAAAGATGTGGTGAGCCGTATTTGCACCAGTGCACTCCAGCCTGAGCGACAAAGTGAGACCCTGTCTTGGAAAAAAAAAAAAAAAAATAGTCTTAAGCAGAGGGAACTTGGGTGTGCCACAGCTGTGGTTCTGTACACTGGCTGACAGGACAGCCTCATGATTAGCTCCTGAAGATTTCTATCCCACCCCCTAATTTTATATTAGGGCTAGGCGACTGGGTACAAAGCAGAAGTCACCTGCTAGGCATAGGAGGTAAAAGCCAGGGAGGGAATCTGATTTATTAGGACTCAAATGCTCTGGAAAGTAAGGACTGTCTCTCAGTTAACCAGGAGGGTGTCATGTGCAGGAATGGGAGAAAAGTTATCCTCAAACCATCAGTCACTGTCAGACTGGTGGTCTGGCTAAGCTAGTTAATATTTTGCGTCCATACTTCAAGGCAGTGGTTTTGAAATGGTTTGGTTCTCTGGACTATTTTGGTAGAATCAAGGCACCTTTCATAGATGAATATCCAGCTGCTTCCACTGACCACTCAACAGCAAGGACGACTCTCAACTAATGAATCAAATCATACTATGATTGGTTAAATATAATAAATTACCTACCCAAACACAGATATTACTATATAATAAATTATTCTACCAGAAACCCACTGTGGATCCCTAGAGAATAGTTGGGAGAATTCACTAAACTATATTTGGAAAACCTCTGCACCATGCATAGCACAAATCCTAAATACTATAGTTAAATTTTTAAAAATTATAATGTCCTTAAAAGGAAGGTTTCTCAACTCCAACTGTTGGCTTATTGATACATTAAAATCTTATTATAGCAAATGACTTTAAACATCTTTTGGCATTCTTTGTAATGAATGACTTTTGTATCAGATCCTTTCTTTTGTAAGGATAAATCTTCTCTCTTAAGTGAATGATGGAGCAGAGCAGCCCTTCTGGCATCATTTAATAGAATGAAGACATGTTTGGTGTGAAAGCTTCCCAGAGAAGTAACTCTTAGGTCAACACTTCCCAAAACACTACCAGACAGGTGCCCAGTAAACTGGTTTTCATCTCTGTCAGCAGCCCTGTGCTCCCACCAGGAAAATCTTGTCCCTGAATTCAACGTCTGCCTCTTCTTGAGTCATTTCATGCTACAAGGCACAGGCCTGCATCAGCCGCTTTCTAACAGGAACTGCAAAAGGATGAGCCCTCCTTTTGGTGAGTGGCAGAAGCACCTATCCTGGACCTTGTAGCTTAGGGGCCATAGGGATCCTAGTGGTGATAATAAGGATCCATTTCTTAAATATCAGACCAGAGAATGTGCTACCTTTCACCCCTGAGCATGAGGAGACACTGTGGCTCCCAGGATCTCTCTATGTGACTCAGGTGGAGAACAGAGAAGGGCTTCCTCCTATGAGAAGCAAAGCAGCTGCCTAGTTACTGTTGCAAGTGATATCTCCGCTGTGTTAAATTACAGGTCATAAATGGAGATGAGATTATTCAAACAGGCAAGTAAACCCTGCGTCCGTTCTCTAGCTGAGCAGTTCCCAGCCCTGGCCCAGTGCACTGGCCTCCTACACATTCCAGCTCCTGCCACTCCCCACATGGAAATCCTTCCTGTCAGGTGTGGACTAGATTGCTTTCCCTTACAATGCAGGCAGAATTGAAATATCCGAGCATCTTTTGCCAACTGAACTTGACTTTCATAAGTCTCTATTTGATTTTTTTTAACTATTTTGTTTTATTTTGAGTGGTTGGCAATAGGGGGAAACACAAAGGGAGCTTCTTTATGTGGAAACTTTCTGCTGTTTAGTAGTGGGGCTGTTTGTCTTCAGTTGTTACCTTTTTAGGCAATAAGTAATTACAGTCATTCTTAGCCTTCTTTTTGACCCTTTAAAAATCAAGTTTTTCATGAATGATTTATTTTTGGATGAACCCTGGAGAATCCTAATTTCCTTAGTATTGAGGCCTTATAATTTATCCCAATTCTGAAATATCTTTTCTTTAATCATTCAAGAAATTATCAGTTACTCAGTTTAGAGATCATTCCTAATAATGCAGGTAGGGAGGGGGGAATATCATATTTAGCTCTTACCTCTTGTTTTCTAGTATTCACTGGCCGGTTCTTACCTATTGGCTTTTCAAAGATCTGTATTTGTTATCCCAGTAAACTTCTTTGGTTATAATTTTTTTAATTATTATTTTTTAGAAGCCTTGCAGCTCTTTCCTTTAGTTTTGCCTATCCTTAAAATGAATTACTTTCCCACAATGAAAAGCATTTTATACCAGATGCATGGGGTCATTAATAATGCTGATTTTGTATATCTTACCACTTGAGTTCTCCATCAGGGAAAGAAAGATATTTTTTTAAGTGATAATGACAAGCAAGAGCTAGTTTGTTGTTGTTTCTTTTTTTTAATATACTTTGAAACTGTGACCACCAGCACTGCTACCTTACAGATCCTGCTTTCCTGCCCCCAGAAAGCAGGAGAGTAAAGGGAAGTATTATTTGATGCCAGGTGGTACGTGATTTTACCTAGATTTTCCCCCAGGGCCGTGGTCTTCACTCTTCTTGCTCCCAGTAGCATGTGTCCCAAAGTGTAGCACTACGTGACAGCCCTGGGTAGCTGCTGTTTTAATAGCAAGGAGCAGCACCAGCCCTCAGCCCTGCTACCTCCTCTGTGAACTTTACCATGACTAAACTTTACCATGCTTTTCTCAGGGTCAATTTAAAAGACCCCTAAGGTAGTAAAGCTCCTTTTGGCTTTGGAGATATTCCCCATATGCTATTTTCTTTTTAATTTTACAGGCATAGGTAAAGACTGTTTCCTGTGTTGTTTTCTGAAAACTATAGACTTCATGTTAGAAAGGTTCTGGAATGATTTACTGAGCTGCTGAAGCTAAGATTAGGGTATCTCTTCTAACCTAATCTTTATCAGACTGATAATGTTTTGGTAAAATGATTTTATAAAAAAATTTTAGGTAGTCCTACTTCCTTTAGTTAGACTGCCTATTTTTTTCCCTCTTTTTTTCCCCCTTGGTTTTTATGTGTGTATATTCACCAATGCTTGGTTTCCAAATATTGTTTCTAAAGCATTTTTTTTCAGAGACTCAAAAGTAAAATGAAAGCAATCTCCGTATTGGGCAGCCCTTCTGGAGTAACTCTGAGCTGGAATGGGTCTAGGAGCCTGTGTTCTCTGTTTGTTCTCATGTGTTATGTTGATGGCATTCCCTTTTCAGCCACATCTCCCTCCCCATATTCAAGTAACTCCTTGGTCTGAGCTTTTTGGCTGCTTTTTTCCCCTCTTGCTGTTGCATCCTCACCTTGTTGGTGACTCTACACTGCCACCATGTATTGTTTTAATTTTGAGCACAATGTGAATTCTTTCCAAATGTGACTGATATGCCCTGTTTGGGGGCTAAGAACCCATAGATCACATGCTCTTCTCCTCTACGAAATGAAACCTCTGGTGCTTCTTTCTTTGCCACCTAATTTCCATGTTTCAATTTTGACCTAAAGCACTTAGTATAGTAAGGCAGCTTGATACCTCTGTTGCATAGTCTCTAGTAACACATGGTATCACTTTTACATGAAAGACTAATGTCCCAAGAGATTTTTAATAAAAAGCCCTGCTATGCTGAAAGAAAAAGGGAGAGAGAGAGACAAAAAATAAACAGACCCATTGGGCTCAGGGGAAGCTGAACCTGACCAGTGTGGAGAAAGAGGCAGAGACGTTCCATTTGGGAAGCACCATGCATACGGCTGTTTGAGAGAAAGCACTGGACTAGTCACTCAGTAAAGAAAGCGTGTTACCTCCTGCCTATAGCCTGAATAAAGGCATGATTGGTGTGTTGTAGGAAAAACGGATCGTGTCCCTGGATTCAGCCAACACCAGACTGATGAGCGCGCTGACCCAAGTGAAGGAGCGGTACAGCATGCAGGTCCGCAATGGCATCTCCCCCACCAACCCCACCAAGCTTTCCATCACGGAGAATGGTGAATTCAAAAACAGCAGCTGCTGACGGGCTTTGTGAATAGACAGACTGTGGAAGGAGACAGAGGGAAACTGATCCACTCTCCTATCCCCAGACCTTTACCTAGCCCCTCCAGGTTTACAGAATGTTGCTACTTCACAATGGCAATGTGGTGAGAAACTCTTGAATGAAGAAAGGAACCTTGTCTTTCAGGGCATAAGGCAGTGACTTCCAAGGTCAATGCTTTTCCCCCACATCTCTATGTACATAGGGAACTTAGTTCTGGGCCATGTACAGAAAATATCACTGTAATATACCAAAAGGAAGTTAATAATGTAGATTACCTTTTTGATTATTGCTATTTTTATTATTGTTTTCCTCTTGTTGAAAGCACTGCAGTTGTTAGAGGAAGTAAAGTAGGAACTGTTGTGTGAGTGAGACACGAGCCTGTAGGTTCAGTAGGTAGAGACCAAGCATCTATCTGATAGAAGCACATGGAGTGCAATAGGACATTGTGAGAAGGAATTTTTCAGGGATTCATCTACTAGTTTAAAAACCCCACTCTGGCCCCCTTGTCCTTTCAGAAAACATGCAAATACCAAGATCCATACAAAACAATAATTTATTCCACTGATCAACCAAGACTGGTTCTGGTTGGAAGCTAATCTGATTTGGGGATTCACTGTTTCAGAGGACACAGACAAAAGCTGTTGCATCAAAACTGGACTTTAGGAGTAATTTCGATGGAACTCCTGTCAATATGTTTATTTCCTCTGTCTACAGCAGATGGGAATCTTCTCTTTTAGATAGGGGCTTTTTTTTTTAACCCCAATGGTAATAAAGGGTGTTCTCTTTCCTCTTTAGAGTTTACAAAGCTATAAATATTTGTCTCTCCACGTACCATCTTCATCTTCACACATTCACTGCGCTTTCCTCCCCATGGTGGGAGCTGTCGTCACCAACAGGGTTTACTCTCCCCTGGAGAGGTTATTTAAATAGCTGTCCATAAGCCATCCAAATCAACACCCTTTCTTCCATACAGAAAAGGGCTAACCATACCATAGCTGGAATCTCTGAATATTTCCTATTAAAATTTTTTTCTGTGTGTTACGTTATAATTTTTGTTTGGGATAAAGACTTTATCCATTGTACTAGCAAATCTATGGGGGGTAATTTTATCTCCATCTTTAACTTTTAAAGTGCTTCTTCCCCTTATCCCCTCAATAAAGAAAGGAAATCCAAATTTGAAGCATCACTCTCTTAAAAGTGATGATTGCTCATGTTTAAAAAAAGAAAAAGAAAAAAATTGAAAGTGTCAGGATGGCACATTCCAATTGTTATTCCCATGCTGGTAGATCTGACAATAATGACCCAGTTTCAACACTTGTCATCTATAGCCTTATTATTATAGAACAGAAAAAGTCATGGAAATGAATTCATTTCCTTTTTTCCAAAGGTGTGAAATATCATCTTGAATGCAACCTTGATTACCAGAAGTATGGCGTGTTACATGTTAAACAGACATTATATATACAAATATATATACACATATATATTCATACATATGTACATATAACTGCACAAATAGGAAAAGTTCATGCCTTCTATGCTGTTCAGATATAATGTTAAAAGGGTCCTGAACCTCTTTAAGCAAGATCTAAGCAGTTGTTTTATATTGAGAAAGCAACAATGTTTCTCGAATAAGTTGATGTTGATTTTAAATTATAGGCTTTAAAGAATTTTTTTTTCTAGAAAAAGGGGATGGAAAAAAAAGGACCTGAGGGAGCCATATGCATCAAGTGAGTGTTTCCCCATAACAGATTATTTATAAGGGAACATGTATAGTGCCCTCTTTTGAGTGATGCCGACAGACACCAAGCCCTCCTTTTCACCGAGTCCCAGCCTTGCATTCCAACCTCTTGATCTCTGCCCTCTCTCAGGTGGATCTTTGTGTTGGACTTTATGTTTCAGCAACCTCACCATGGCCACATAAGCCACAACCTTTTAAAACCGTTTATTTCATAGCAATCCCTGTTTCTGCCAGACAGAGATCTAAAATGGGAGTTTCTCACTGTGTTTATCTGATCTGCACACTTTATATCCAGCTGTTTTGGCACTTTTACATTTTCTTCACCTTTGGTATTTGTTTTGCAAATTCTTACACCTTCTCTCCAAGCGGAGGGCACACTGTGGTCAAAATCACTTATTTTATTAGGAAAAAGAGCTAACTGTTGCAAAGTGTAGTGTCCTTTGTTGAAGGAGGAGGGATGTAAGCATAGATCTGTTATTGTTTCTGGCTATTCTCAGCTCAAGCCATGTTTAATTCATTCTTTGTAAAAGCCTTCAGTTGTGCCACAGAAAACCTGGTAAGAGAATTGTCAGTTTCATTGGCCTTAAGTACGTAATGTGGGTGATGTCTTGCCATTGAGGTTTGGAAGCTCTTAAGTGCTGATTATGGATTACAGAGGGCTGATAAAATTACCTATATTGGGAATTGAGAGAAGCCCAAAAAAAAAAATCAAATGTGCTTTTGATGGATAGAATGTATCTTATTAGCATTATGGGAGCTCCTTAGAGGGCTGTCTTCACTGGAAGATTTAATGCCCAAAACATTTGGACAGATTATGCAGCCTTCTACTAGCAGGTTATCTTGAATGAAGAAGAAATAGCAAAAAATAATAATAGTAAGAGCATTACAAGTAAACTAAAAGTTCAGAGTTGTTGACAGATGTTAAATGTTAGGTTATCCTGTGAGCCTACTCCTGTCCAAACATTTTTCTCAGTATTTCTTTAGAGAATGCTGCAATCTGTAGAACTTACTCTGAAGGATTTTTTAAGAAGAGAAGCCACCAACAGGTGATAATTTTTATGGAGCTATTTCTTAATTGGCTTTCCCTCAGTTCAAATAGGTAAATAACTTTGTTTTGCTGGGAGGAGGTACATGGCTGAAGAGGGGGCAAATAGATTAAGATAGCAATGTCTTGCACTTCCTGTTTCCCTCAAAACGACACCACATTGTGGGTCGCAGGATAGATGAGGGTTGAGTGGAATTTGGAATTCAGGTGAAGTGCTTGTAAAGTGCATGTCAAGCTGACAACAGACTTGACCATTAATGAGGACAGTGTTGGTAGGAGTCAGAAAAGAGCTTCATATTCCTTTTATATTACTGAAGCAATAAGCAATCTGAGCTGAAGCAGCAAAAAGAGTCACATTTCCATCAGGTCATCATATTCCCTGAGTCTCTGCAATAAAAGCCATGTCAGAGGAGAGATTATAACTAGGTAACTATAACAAGCACTTGAGCACTTACCGTGTTCCAAGCACTATCACCAAGGTACTGTTTGGATTTATGGCAGTCTAACGGTAAGAAAAATGTGGTAAAGTGAGGTAATCATGCTGCTATAGCTTTTTGCTTTTTTTCATATGGTATCAAGTTGGTCAGAATTTGCTTTCTCTGACTGGTCTGCTTCTGTGTTTCTCTGTGATGGTGTTAAGACTATGAAAGAAAAAGAAAGATTACCTAAGACTGCTATGAGCATTAACTATATGCCCTTAAGAATGAGCTTGACTTTGGAAGTACAGCTTTTCAGATCTCAGTCTACCCAGGGCCTTTGTTTATGCGTCTGTGGTTCTGTAGACCCCTGGCTTTCACTGTGTTCTCAGAGGTACACCAGATTGAGAACAGAGTTCTTCTTTGGAAGTCCCAGAGCAAAATCACTGCCATCAAGTGAGTTTGCATTCATATTTGTTTCCCCTTCCATCAAGGGTTAGTTTTAGTCATCTCTAGCTTGGAGTTCCTGAGAAGGCTGGTTATGGGACTGAGCGTGGGAAAGGAACCCTCTTCAGCATTACCTCAGTCCCATCAGTCTACTCCATTGTGACCTTGAGCCCCACACATGCTTGACACCAGACTAGACTTGTCACAGGGCCAAACCCAACAGCCACATGCCACAGCTTCACTGCATTTTCAGCTACACCTTTGGAGGCCACCTTCTCCTATCAACTGTGGAAAGCCAAAAGGGCTCCCTTCTCCATTCCCCTTCCCTTTTTCAAGTCTAATAGTGAAATCTCCTGCTTACCCCAGCAGTAAATAGAGCAGTAAATAGTTGCCTTCCTACCCCTTACCTGGGGGCCGATAATTTGAGATACTTTGTTTTTTCAATACGTCAGTTGAAGGATTTAGTTTCTTAAAAGCAAGAAATGTTGGAGTGTTGAATTTCTATTTAGAGTCTCTTTTCATGTTTGAATGATTGTTACTAGTTCTAGAAGCATTCTCATTGTCATGACCCAATTATGTATACTCTTGGGTTTAGGAAGGACAAAAGTGATGAAATTTGCATGAGATAGAATAAACATCTTAGGAGGAGTGAAAGAACCTGAGGAAGAGACATGACCCATAAGGGAATGAATGCATAAGCAGAGCCTTCTCAGTAGCCCAGAGTTTCCAGGAAACAGGAAGATTTATATCCCTTGCCTACTCTTAAAATACATAGATACATAGAAAGGCAGTCTCTGTAGACAACACATGCACACACCCACACAAAACAGAATTCCTGGGGCTTCCTTTTTCTGAATGTTAATCCATTTTATTGAGCAATGATTCCCAAACTTTGAGATTTTCAGATTTTGTGCTCTCGTTTTTTAGATTTTATGACAGTCATTCTATCATCCTTAAAAATGTAGTATATGTGTTATATGTATATATAAGTTAAAGCGACTTGAAATTGACTTGGTTTGGCATTGTCTCAAGAACCCTAGATATCATTGATACCATGGGGAATCATAGAAATAAAGTTGAATATCACTGATCTGAGAGTAGGATCCAGAAATAAGTAGTTTCAGTTCCTGATCAGTTAAGCCTCAAGTGCTTGAGTAACCAACACAGCAAGACTTGGGAAATGCAGTGAGCTCCCGAGGAAAGGAAAGCGGTAGTCTTTGCCTGCATTTCAGCATGCATTTTCATTTCCTACTCAGTTCTATCTTCCACTTAAATACCCTCATTTGACCCTAGGAAGTTTTTGGTTTTTTTTTTAGTTTGAGACTTAAAACCAGATTTATCTGTTGTTGTAGAGAGATTTCCACAGAAGTTGTGTTTTACGGACCTCCATCATCTTTGTGGGGGTACAGATATTTATGTGTAAATATCATTTTATGTGATTTCCAAATTTTCAAGGGAAACATTTCAATTTCCCAGTTCAACAAAAGGTTAAATACTAATTGACTCAATGACCACCTTCAGAAAAGGTAAATAGTAAATTAGGTTAAATTTTGACTGGTGCTTAGACATTTCCTAGTTATATTAACTTAAGCAGACAGCAACACATTAACCTGAGTTACACCGGTGAGGAATTTACATTCTAAATTTGATTTTGTTTTTCATCTCCAGGGCCTTAATAAGAGTGTGTTGACACACAACTATTTTACAATGATAGCTCTAAATAATTTATTTTTTATTTCAAGAAAGAGAAATACACCTTAGAAAAACAAAACCCAAGATTTTATTTTATTTTTAAAGCCATATTTTTGTGCTAGTAGCATTTAGATTGTTCCGTATGTGAGATCCATATCTGCATTTCATTACCTGGGTTTGTTCTAAAGAAGATTTATTTTTGTTCTGTGAATAATTTTTGACGGTTCTTGTACATGTACAGATATAGATACGTTTGAGGTCTTTTATTGATATTCCTACAAAGAATATAAATAAACTTTAACTTTAAACATTTCAGACTAAAGTTGCTACTATATTTGACATATTGCTGTCTTCTAGCGTGCACCTGGGAGACCAGGACACTTGGAGAGAAACAAGAAAGGAAATGTATGCCAGAATATTATTCTGAAAATATATTTTAACATTAAGAACAGTCTGTCTTAGAATTTTCCAACTTCCATGTAGTAAGATTTCAATTTAGGAAAAATAACTAGCATTAACATGTATTGTGATAAAATTGTTACTTTCAAATTCTGCAGAATTTGAAATCTCTTTAATAACTTGTGACAGGTAAAGAAAGTTTCCTTTGGTTTATTAGGAAGTGTAGCCCCACTTAGCTTCCTAGACCGCTACCATCCTCTTGTAATTTTCTAGTTAAATTAATGGAGTTTGTTTTCAGGATTTTTGGTGTTTGGTTCAGATTTTTTATTTTAAATTCTTAATAGAAGTTCATTTGTCATTCCCAAGATTATTGTTCCCAAATACACTCATCTTCTCCTGCATCCCTGTTTCATTCTGTAAAATCCAGGGATGCAGGTTTCATGTGTAGTCTTATTTTGTGTTAGTTGTAGTTCTATGCTTTTTGGCACATCTCGAGTTCTTCCTAATCTTGTTCTACTAGGAATTACAAAATTAAAATTTACTCAAAATCCAGAGAAGATTTCATGAAAGGGAAACCGCATATCCATAGAACTGTGCTATTTTTTGTTCACTTCGAAGCTGACCCATTTCAGTCTGAATTGTTCGTGACCTAATGTAAGCTTTAAGACTTCCTGGATCTGAAACATCAAAAAGAGAGAAAGTGTTGATGCGGTCTTTTTACCTCATGGTCCTCTTAGCCATAAACTATCCATCCATATACGCTTTATGCATATCCATACCCCGTAATTGTTTTTAGCCTCCCTCCAGCTGCCTGACTTTTTTTATTAGCATTTTACCAGTAGAAAAATACATAAATCAATTTTGTTAGCAAAATATGTATATATATATTTAATGACAGAACACTAAAACAGATGACTAAATTAGTGGTTTTCAACCCTGATTATTCATCAGAATCACTGGGGAGTTTAAAAAAAAAACAAAAACAAAAACAAAAAAAAAAAACAGGAGTACCTCCTGAGCTCCACCATTGAACAATTAAATAGAATCTCTCTAAGGATTGGACCAGGCTAGGCTTTTTTTTTTCTTTCTTTCTTTTTTCTTTTTAACCTTGCCAGAGGATTCCGAAGAGCCAGGGGGTAAGAACCACTAGTCCAAATCAAGCTGTGAGCACTGTGTGTAGGTGTCTGAAAATGTTTTCTGTCCCCAATCCTGAAACTAGGGTAAGCTGGTTACAGGTGTTTCCTTACCTTCTATTTGGAATTTAAAATTCTACCAAAACTGACAATATATACTCAGCCTTCCCCCACATACGCCTTGTCCCCACCAACCCGTCCTTTAAGTCTGTGATGTAGAAATTCTCTCCATTAACATGGTCATCCCATTTATGGAATAGATACATTCTGACAAAGCTGACCGGAAGACGGAATTCCCTATTTTGACCTCAGTTTCCCCACTGGCTTCAATTTAAAGCAGAAGGTAGATGGCTTCTAGTTTGGTGTCAGAAGCTTCAATGAGTATACCCTTGAGGAGTGCTGAAGGACCCAGGGCAGAATCAAATATGCTACATTTGACTTTTAAAGTGTAAACAACAGGCGGCGCTCGGTGGCTCATGCCTGTAATCCCAGCACTTTAGGAGGCCAAGGCAGGCGGATCACCAGGTCAGGAGATCCTGGCTAACATGGTGAAACCCCGTCTTTACTAAAAATACAAAAAATTAGCCGGCTGTGGTGGCGGGCACCTGTAGTCCCAGCTGCTCAGGAGGCTGAGGCAGGAGGATGGCGTCAACCCGGGAGACGGAGCTTGTAGTGAGCCAAGATCGTACCACTGCACTCCAGCCTGGGCGACAGAGGGAGACTCCGTCTCAAAAAAAAAAAAGTAAACAACATAGAGAACTCAAAGTTCCTTTGTCTACCTTACCAACCCCTACCAAAAAAAAAAAAAGGTTAACTTTTCTGACCTAATATTCAGCACTGAAGTCTTATTACTTGAAAGTTATCAGATGCTAAATTACACCATTCGTACTTGTCCTTTCAGTAGCAAAATGTACTGAAAGCTCTCCAGTCCCCCCTCCACTCCTGGCAAGCATGCAGTCATGTGCTCATGTGAATTTTCCAAAATCATGAGTATTTTGTAAGATTCAGTTGGTTCTATGAAATTACAATAAAGAGTATTGTATATTTTATTATAATTTGTAAATTGTGTGCTATACATTCTTTATATCAGTAAAATTTATAATAAACACATATACATTATATACTCACACACACATATTGCTGGTCTTTCTAGAAACTTGATTTTGTGAAATTCTAGAATGAATTGCCAGGGTGATATTTGTTTGGCCTATGAATAAATTGCAATGAACTAACAGATAAATGCCAATGTTTCCTTGTCTGTAAAATTAAGATTGTGGCTAAATAGTCTATAGGGTACTCTCTAGCACTGACATCCTGTGGTTATTATCTGATATAATTGAGAAATGTGTCCTTAGACCATGTTTAAAAACCAGCTTGAAGCTTTTCTCTTAGTATTTAGGAACAATTCTTCCTCTTCACAGTCTCCCATGGCACAATGGTTTCTAAGAACCAAAAAAGTCTGGAATAAGTATATATTCAGAACACTACAGTGATAATGTTGATAATAATAATAGCCGGCCAGGCATAGTGGCTCACGCTTATAATCCCAGCCCTTTGGGAGACTAAGGCAGGAGGACTGCTTGAGCTCAGGAGTTTGAGGTTTCAGTGAGCTATAATCGCACCATTGCACTGCAGCCAAGGTGGACAAAACAAGACCCTGACTCAAAAATAATAGCTAATGTTTATTGAGCACCAACTATGTGTCAGATTATTGGCTAAGCACTTTATATGGAATATATCATTTAATCATAACACTAACCATATGAGTTAGACATTATCATTCCTGTTTCATGAGGAAACTGAGGCTCAGAAAGACTAAGTTGGCCAAAGCTACACAATGGATAAGGGCAAAACTAAGACCCAAACTCAGATCCCTCTGTGCTATCTTGACCAAAAAAAAAAAAAAGAGCTTAGGAAAGACATTGGAGAGGGTAAGAAAAGATCCAAAAAGATCGTGCCACATAACCAACTTGTGACCATGAGCCAAAGTGATGGCAGTGGAGCAAGATGAGGTCATATTCCACAGGTTTTCCACCTTAATATATTGGCTTTTTAAGATTGTCTTGCCATGTCAAATCATCTGACTGATCAGAATTAGAAGAGTGGGCAGAAGTCTCACCTGTCTCAGAAATTGGTCTTTCATCTCTTCTGGGTCCATCAGAGTTGAGATGGTAAAGTCTGCTTTCAGGATTCCAAAAGGGTGCCCTGGAAAAGAAGGTGCTGCCTGTTCGGGGGAATATTATCCTATTGCCATTTCAAGCTCTTAGCAGTCAGGAGTACCCAGTGGACATCATAGATGCTACATGCCAATTTGGGATTGCAAAAAGAAGAAAGAAACTGCTGAGCAGAAGAATGCTTAGCCACAATTAGGACCAACCAATTAGTGGCTGAAGAAAGAGTCCCATGGCTTTGGGTAATGCAGGCTCTTCCACAGCCTGGCTACCCGTCAGGCAATTATTTTCTTTTTTGTTTCCTCTGTATTTTTCTCCTTATTTTAATCCAGTAAGTGGATACTCCACACCATCCTGGAAATACTCACCTCTCCTTGAGCTCCCCACCACAGAAAATTCTAAAGAAGTTCTCTGACTCTTTAAATAAATTCAGCCTTTGCCCATGAGCCATCCATAATCATTACAGGAACTACAATCTCATAATAAGACTGTATGTGCATTATATTTTATTATTTATGAAGTTTATAATTATCTCATTGGGTGCTCACAACAACCCTATGGTATAGGCAGGGTCGTTTTTTCCACATCCCCTTCGCAGAAGAGAAATAGAAATTCAGAGACTTGTCCCCTAAATTTTCATAATAGTCACGGAGCATAAACTAGAATCCACCTCTTTATTCCTATCCCTATTCCCAACATTTCGTGTTGTCTTTCATGAAAAGGTCTCAAGGGCCCTGTGCCAAGGAGTGACTGTCGAGACTTAACTGCTCCTCTGGTAAGAGTAGGAACTTGGTAGACAGAAGCAGTTACCTGATTTTTGTGCTGATGTTTTTTTAGATTCTGAACTCAGATGTTGGGCCTCTGTGGCAGCAGCTGTATCTCTTCTATCAGTGCCACTCCCTACACTGGTCACAGCTACAGGAAAGGAAAATAGAAGATTTATTGCAAATACAACCAGGAGTAAGGTGGCCTGATGCTGGTGATTGCCCCTGAGCTAAAAGACAGGAAAGGACAGCCACTACTAGGCACACAGTTGCTGCAGAAGCCAGCGATGTGGGAAGCTCAATTCCTGCCAATCCCTGACTCACCCCCACAGGCTCTTGTAACCCAGCACTTGAGCTGCTACACTATCATCTTTCAGAAAGCACCCCTGGCAGCAGGATCTGTGGGGCTTGGGCAATGTTAGGAGGTTTTTCCTCATCAAATTTTTTTTGTTCAGTAGCCTATGCTCCAAAGGGCCTAATGTCCTTATTTTGTCTGCCAGCTACACAAAGCCCCCACCATGGCACCCAGGGACCCTGAACATCGCCATCTCTATCCCAAACCAAGTGTAGGCTCTCCCCCAGCACCCCCTCTCTTCCTGTATGGCTGGCCATGCCTGGAGGCGCTCCAGCCAGAGACCCTGGTGTCCTCAGTGGCTCCCTTGCTCCGTCTCACCTGCTCTCATGTTCAGTCACCAAAGTCCTGTCAGTGCCTTGCAGATGTCTTTTTATTCTTTCAAATATGGAAATAATCCTTTTATTTGGAATATATTATTGTAAAATATTTAAGCAAATTTATCCCCTCCCCAACCCAGGGACACCCATGATTAACACTTTGCTGTAGAAGGTCCTTCATACTCACGAATTTGTTAATTTGAATGTGTAAAGATCTCTCATGTTTGCTTTAAAGGCTGCTTAGTAGTATTTCACTGAATGTACCATAACTTATGTAACCAATCTGCTTTCAGTGGACATGACGTTGTTTCCACCTTTGCACTGTAATAAACAATGCAGCAACAAGCAGCCCTGTGTGTGGAGGGTGCATATGTATGTGTATACCTCATATTATTATTTCCTTAATCAATTTCCAAGGGTAGAATTTCTGTATGAAAGATTATGCACATGTTAAAACTGACACAAATTCTGACACCAGAGTAATAGCCCCAGTCGGCATACCTACTGTGCCAAGATCACTGTTTTTCCCACATTCTCAGCATTATCACCTTTCAAATCTTTGCTACACTGGTAAGTACAAAAATAAATTTTAAAACTGCATCTTTTGGATACCTGTAATCTCACACCTGTAATCTCAACACTGGGAGGGTGAGGCAGGATGATCACTTGAGGCCAGGAGTTCAAGGCCAGCTGTGCAACATAACGAGATCCTGTCTTTAAAAAAAAATTTGCCAGGCATGGTGGTGTATGCATATAGTTCTAGCTACTTGGGAGGCTGAGGTAGGAGGATCGCTTGAACCCAGGAGTTCAAGGCTGCAGTGAGCTATGATCATGCCACTGCTCTCCAGCCTAGGGAACAGAGTGAGACCTTGTCTCTAAAAACAAAAACAAAACAAAAAGCAATAAAAAGTAACCATCTTTATAAATTTTGCATTTGTGTGATTCAGTGAACAAAGCTGAGCATTTTTAAAAATGTATTTGTATTGGTACTTCAGTTAACGTCACTCGTGAACAATGTAAAATCAATTCCCTGTCATGTCCCTTCCCACTCCAGTGCTCCACAGCAGGCCTCGGTTCCACCTACCCAGACTGTGCAATATTATTTCCCCACACACACGTTTCCTGTTTCTCCTTTTCTGACTGGCTGTGCCTTCAAAGGCCTCTTTCCCCACCCAAAGCATCATTAATTTCTTTAATAAAGTGATAAATGTGTAAAATTCAGAAACACAGAAGAGGAGGGAACAGCCGTATTTTCATCCCCTGAATATAGTCACTGTTAACATTGTCACACATCTTCTTCCAGACTTGATTCCTAAGCATTGACATTTCCTTTCAGCCTTGTTGTGACTGTATTATGTACATAATGTTGATAATGCTTTTTTCCCTTAGCACCCTAATACAAGCATTGTCCTACATCATCCTAAGCACCTTGCTTCTGGAAATGCAGATCTGAGCATTTTGCTCACCTGCTGTAAACCTCTGATGGCTCCATTGGCTGGGGGATCAACTCCTTCAGATTTTGCCCCCAGTGTACCCCTTTCTCCTCATCCCCTACCACTCCCTTCCCCAATATGTGGCCTACACCAGTCACATCAAACTGCTTGTCATTCCCTAGCAAACCATACAGTTTGACATCTGTCTTTACCCATGCTGTTCCTTCTGCCAGGAAGAACTTTCTATACTTTTCTGCCAGATGAAATCCTCCACTGTTACACCTTCTATCCTATTACCACCTTCCAGGCAGAATGAAATGAATTGCTTTCCTGCCACAGCTCTTGGTTCACACTTCTGGTGCAGCACTTTCCAAACTGTCCTGACGGTCTCCATTAGTTCCTAGGAGACCATGTGCTTCTAAAAACAGGAAACAGCCCTGCTCATCTTGGTATCCACAGTTCAATGCCTTCTTCAAAACAAGTACTCAGGAAATTATTGTCAAATTAAATTATCTACCAATGTGCACTATCCTAGTCCCCAGAGAGATACAAAGAAATACAGAACAGCCCCTGCCCTGTGAGATTCTGCAATCTCAATAATTCATAATTGTAATCATTTATAATTAATAAAATGAGAATGAGGCCAGCCCCATATATTAAGGTAAGGAGAGAGGTGGGAGAAGGAATGAGTCACTAAACATTTCACTAGAGAACTGAGATTAAAATGGTAATAACTACCATTTATTGAGTGTCTGCCAGATGCCAGGCACTGAGAGATGAGAAAAATAAGGTTCAGAGAAGTTAGGAAAATTGTGTAAGACCACACAGTAGGTACTGGAGCCAATATATTCCCACTCTTGACTGTCAGACTCGCTTTTAGAACCAAAATGGATTATTTCTCCCCCAGATCACCCCACTTCACCTCCATCTCCATCCTAAACTACCCAGGGAGGACGAGACAGTGAGCTGGCTCTGGCCAGACAGGACCCCTGTAGAATGCGCTGGAATGCAGCCGGAGTGGGGAGACTGTGTCCCAGCACACAACGCCCCCACACCACACTCCACCTCTCATCCTCAACTCCCTGGCCTGCACCCTACGCATGGAAGCCAGGCCTGGTTGCCCCAAAAGAGGAACTCGCCGAGGTGCTTGGGCCTGCCTGGGATGGAGGTCCTAATTTATAGCAACGCGTACAGGCACCTGTTTGGGTCTCTGGCGAGCTCCCAGCTGCCTCCGGGCGGGTGTTTTGGCTCAGGGCTGCAGAGTCAGGGGGTGCAGTTGTCCTTTGGGGCACAGCTGGGCTGCCTGAGCCAAATGAGTCCGAAATGCTTTCTTTGGTCCGGCTGGATGTGGCAGACCCAGGGGGTGCTGCTATCCTGGGAGTAGCTGGGGCATCGCGGGTGGAGTCGAGCGTGGGGCTCGAAGCAGAGGCCAGAAGAGTCGCAGCTACTTCCTGGGGGACAGAGAGGCTCCCCCAAGAGGCCGCAGCAGGGCTGGGGGGCTGGGTCGCCGAGGGTGCGGGGTGCGAAGACCCATTCTGGACAGTGACCGCCGGCTTCCTGGGTCCTTCCCCGGGAACCAAGGTGCTCCCCTGGGCCGCGAGATTGTCTGGAGGGCCGGATGTCACCGCCCCCTGGGGCTGGAGGGCCGCGGGGCCCGCGGAGGCGGAAGCGCGCGGGTAGGGGGTGCGGGGGCCGGGTTTGCGGGGCTCCAGGCTGCCTCTCTGCGTGAGCCGCGCGGCTGAAGCCGGGCCCCGCGAGGCGCCCACGAGGCCGGTGCTGGTCCCTAGGGCCGGAGAGAAGACTTCTGTGGGGTCCGCTGCGCCCAGGACCCCTCCCAAAGCCGAGGGCGCCGACGAGTGACGAGTGGCGTCGCGCGGTGGCTCCCCGGGCCTGTGCCTCTTCCATGCCTGGCCTTGCCCAACCCAGTGCAGACAGGGGCGAGCAGGGAGGGCCTCCTGAACCCCATAGCGCGGCCCAGGTGGCCGGTGAGCCTGGGGCAGCCAGGCAGGTGCCAGGATAGACTTAGATGAGAAGAAGACAGGCTGTCACCCAGCTTCTGACCCATATCTGACCACGGCCGGCCTGGGCTCTATCGCCTTCAGGGTGAGGTCCCTGGCGACTCACAGAGGGCCGGGCCGGCAGGATCTGGGCTCCCACACTCTCCAGTGCTGACTGTCCCCACCCCACCTGCAGCTCCTTCCACCTGCAGTCCTCACCCAGCCCCGCACCCCACAACACTGCAAGTTAAATCCTCCCCATCCTTCCGATGGTTATAAAGTCACCTCCTCCGGGAAATCCTCTGGACAATTATAGGGGCGGGATGCTCCCCTTCTCAGTGTCCCCACCACACCTGTGACTATATCAAGCACCAGCCTCTTCCCAGCTGGCGGTGAGAAGCTTCAGAACAAGCCTTCCCTCCCCAAAAGCTTGCCTGGTGGCTGTGCCTGAGCTAGCACAAGACTCCATCCACACTTTTTAACGAGTGAATGAACGAGGCTCTGCTCGACCTTGATCAAGTGCCCTCACTTCTCTGTGTGCTCAAAAAAGGCAATAATCCCTTTGTGTGACACAGGAATCTGTAAGAAGGCCAGGAAAACGGTGATTTTGCCCTCAATTATTCTAGTTAGCCTCAGAACTCTTGGGAAGTAAAATGAGGTAATAGCTGTGAAGATGTTTCAGGAATTGTAAAGTGCTATAGGAATGCAGTCACTGTCCTTCCCAGCCACCTCCCGACACATAATGACAACAGCTCATCCCTCATCCTCTCCCTGCAGAGGAGCCTGCAATTCGGAGGGACTTTGCAGTGCTTGCCTCTGGATGCTGAGCCTCAGGACCTCTCTGATGATTCTTCCTCAGGAGTACTGCTCAGGTGTCTTCCCCTCGATCTCCCAAGCCAGGATCTCATCCTCTCACCTGAGAGACTGTACAGCCTCTCCTGGGTCTCTTGGCCCTGGAGCTGCAAATTCAGTGGCCCAATTCCAAGAAAAGGGAGTTTGATGTGGCCCAGTCCTCCTTCCCCCATCCCTGGCTGGACCAGCAGGGTGGGAAGCAGAAGGAAACTCCCGTCTGTATAAGTGGCCCTTGACTGCTGCCCCCTTAACTCACCCCTTTTCTAGGCATTCACTGGCCCTTCTAGGAGGGGCCTATGCAGCCTGCAAGCCACCCTTGCCACTTCCCCAGACCCTGAAGACCCAGATCCAGCCAAGGACAGGCTCAAAACACCTCTGCCTGGCCTGGGAGTTGTTTCCTCTGTCACTTCTGTTGGGGAAGTTGGGGAAGTGCGGAAGAGTGGAGGCAACTCTGCTGATGCCCGGTGTCCAGTGGAGGGGTCTGCAAGAAAACAGAGTGAGTGTGAGGGCAGAGTCTGCAACACCCAGCAGGTGAGCAGCCACCCCAGGCTCTGATGGCCCCGCGTTTGGTTACCCATCATGGTAGCCAAACTCAGGAGGGCACAGTTGTTGCACATCTGCCATGTGCCAATCCCTGCAGCAGACACATCTCCAATCCTCACAGCAAGCAGCCCCTCAGGGAGGAAGAGTGTCTTTATGGATAAGGATCATGTGTCTCATCAAATCCAAAACACAAAAAGAAACAGCCAAGAACAAGCAAATCCACAGAAACAGAAAGTAGGTCTGTGATTGCTGGGGAGGGGAGGGAGTGACTGCTGCCAGGTAAGGGGTTTCTTTGGGGTGGGGGGTGATGAAAATGTCCTACAATTAGATTAGGGATGAATGTATTAAAAGCCACTGCATTGTACCCTTTAAAAAGGTAAATTTTGGCCAGATGCGGTGGCTCACGTGAGCCTGCAATCCCAACACCTTGGGAGGCCAAGGCGGGTGGATCACCTGAGGTCAGGAGTTCAAGACCAGCCTGGCCAACACGGTGAAACCCCATCTCTACTAAAAATATAAAAATTAGCCAGGCGTGGTGGCCAGCACCTGTAATCCCAGCTACTCAGGACGCTGAGGCATGATAATTGCCTGAACCCAGGAGGTGGAGGTTGCAGTGAGCTGAGATCATGCCACTGCACTCCAACCAGGGAGACAGAGTGAGACTCTGTCTCAAAAATTAATTAATTAATTTAATTAAAAATTAAAAGTAAATTTTAAGATGGGAACTATAGCTCAATAAAACTTACAAAAAAGAGAGGTGGGGGAAGGGGGAAGGAGCAAAGGAAAGAGCAAGGCAGAAGGACGCCCATCACACAGAATGCGGGTGCCAGGCAGGCTTGGGCTCCCATGCATTCACAGGGACAGAACAATGACAGTGGCTCCCATCCACCAGGGGCCCACTCTGTGCCAGGGTTTCTACTCTACGCCTTACATTCACTTTCTCACTCAGCCCTCAAAGCCATCCTATAAGGTGGGTGCCATCAATTCATTTTGTTCAATATATTTCCCAGATAAGGAGAAGGAAGCTCCAAGATGCTGCCCACCTTATTTCTAGCAAGTGGTAAACTGTCTAATTCCAAAGCTCAGACTTTTAACTTCATTGTCCAATAATGAATTGCTCTTGCTAAATGCCAGTGCCCTCAGGCTGGATGGAGCCTGTTCCATTATTTAAAGATCCCCAGAATTAAAATAATACAACTTCCTCACAAGTTTATAATGCAAGGATCTCAGAAGCCTGCTCCAGAACTCAGTTTCCCTCAGAGTCTAGAAGTGCTTCCTTGGGACTATCCTCAATATCACCTGCTGCCAAATAAACCCATTTCCCACCTCGTTCTATCCTCAGTGGGCCGAGGGCCAGCAAGAGCAGACTCTCACTCACCATAGAAGCAGATGAAGGGCAGCGGGGAAGAGCAGTTCACTGAGTACACTTTTGGGGAGTAGGTCATATAGATGCCGAGAGCTGCGCACAGTCCTCTCACCATCATCGGCACCTGCAGCCAGGAGGGGATGCTGGCCCCCAGGTCACTAGACCAGCTCAGAGATCCAGAGTTCGCATTGAGGTAGAGGCCAATCCAGGCTTCAGTCTCACTCATGATGGATCTCAAGGCCTCCTTGCCTGTCTTGTCTGTCACCGTCTGCAGGTCGGCCAGGTCCGTGTGGTGGCTGCGGCAGTACAGCAGGGCCGAGGACCATGTCATCACTTGGTCAAATCGCGTGAAGGTCTGACCACCAATCTGGACCACAGCTGGGGTCAGAGAATGTGGAGCTCACAGGCCTGAGGGTCTGGGTCTCTGACAGCCCAGCCCTCATCATCCTTGGGGATAGAATTCTGGTCTGACATGGGCCCTTGTCCCTCGTCCTTGAGTGTTAGGTTTGATCAAAACAACAACAATTTTATAGGTAGACTAAATACCAAGTAGGAAGAATGGATGAGATATAGCGGCAGGTGGGGAAGACATTAGGGAAAGCAGGGCTTAAGAATTCGTGTAGTTATATGGCCTCACAAGTTCAGTTTAAGTCTTAATTTCTTCAGCTATACAATGGGGTAATAATAGTACCTAAGGTCAGGATTACATGAAATCACATATGCAAATGTTTTAGCACAGTGATATATTAATAGTAAGCACTTGGCAAGATAGTAGTGACCATTTCGGGGGAGATTATGAGGAAGACAGAATAATCTTGGTTTGGGGTCACCCTCAAGTATGATTTCTAGGGGCTGTGCCTGGCCGCACTGGCTCTCAGGCGAATTCAGGACTGAGCAGACTAGAGGAAGAGTGTGATCTTCCTAGGCTCACCGTGCCTGGAGAGCCAGGGAGAAGAGGCCAGCCTGGAGGGACGGGCCCGGTAGACAGGAGGCGGAGCAGGCTCAGTGGCCTTGCCTTCCGGGGGAGCCGGACAGACTGAGATGCTGGCCTCCCACAGCCACCTCTGCCAGTCCCTGCCCGAGGCTGGACTGGGCCAGGTCCTGAGGTGGGATAAGCCCAGCCTACCCTGCTCCTCGCCGGGCCTGTCCCATCTTGCAGCACATGAGTCCACACATCTGAGATTCCAGACAATGGAAGATTGGAATCTTCCAATGGAAGAATGGAAGAGTGGCTGGGACTCAGCCTGAGGCATTGATTCTGGGGGCGCAGAAGAGGAAACACTCCTGTTTGCCGAGACGGGAGTCACATCCTCAGATTCAAATGGAGCCTCCCAAACTTGGACACGGGCCTTTCACCTAAGCCCATCAAGATTTGCCTCCAATTTCCCTAACACTTTCCCTATCTCAACTGATGTTTTAAAGTTACTCTTGATTAAACCCCTTGTATGTGCCAGCCCTGAGCTATGCATGTGGCCTGTGTCATCTTTGAAAACCCCACTACTATCCTGAGAAGTTGGTGTCATTAACCTCAGTTCACAGATGAGGAGAAGGAGGCTGAGGGAGGCGACAACCTGCCCGAACTTGGGCCATACTAGAGATTTGAACATGGGAAGCCCACGCCATCTTCACTCTACAACTCTGTACTCCATACCAAGCAGAAAAGCCACTCTACAGAGCAGAGTGAGTGAGTATATCGCCTCTGTCATAGAACTTATCCGTATCAGATAGGACGAAACTTTTTAAAAGATACCAAGGCAGTCATACCGGAGGGGACTATTTCAGAGAAGCCGCCCCCACCCCCAGATGGATGAGCAAGTACTTGGGCTGTGAAGAGAAACCACCCAGTCCCCAACCCCAGAGTGACAGCTGGGCTGCAGCCAAGGGCTCATCCACTCTCTGATTCCAGTCTCTGACTGGAGACTTTGAGCCAGTCACCCTCCCCTCTGGGCCCATCAGAATAATAAAGACAATGGCCAGCTGTGTGGTTCATACCTGTAATCTCAGCACTTTGGGAGGCCAAGGCAGGTGGATCGCTAGAGCCCAGGAGTTCGAGACCAGCCTGAGCAATATGACAAAACCCCATCTCTACTAAAAATACAAAAACTTAGCTGGGCATGGTGGCATGTGCCTGTAGCCCCAGCTATTCAGGAGGCTGAGGCAGGAGGATCACCCTCCAGGAATGTTGAGTGAGCTGTGAGTGTGCCACTGCACACCAGCCTGGGAGACAGAGTAAGACCATCCATGTCTTAAAAAAATAAAAAATAAAAATAAAGACAATGACTGTCTCCGTGGGGTTCAGTCAGGGGACAGCAAAGCCTGGAAATCCCTCCTGGACAGCCAGGCAGGAGTCAGGGGAACAGAGGGGCCCTGGGGGTGGGGATCCTGCTGGTTGGTCCTGATGGAGAGGTCCAAGGCAAAACAAGCCAAATTCCCAGAAAAGGGAATGGGGAGCAGGTGCGTACCTGGCTTTGGAGAGGTGGTCAGGCCGACAGAGGGCTTCGTGGAGATGAGGTGCCCGACATCAGGGTCTGTAAAACAGAAACAGACCACGAGTTACGGGGAGGCCCGGGATCCTCTGCAGGCAGGAGCTGCCCAGTTACTGCTGGGAAAACCTAGCTCGGGGGCAGACAGGCTCGTCCATCCCTTTCTACATTGATTCAATCCATTCAATAAATACTAGGCACCTACTGGGTCGCAGATGCTATTCTACACCCTGGGAAAAAATGACAGAAATAAGACAAGCAGAGTCCCTGCTCTTGAAGAGAACATGAGAGGGAGCAAATCTTGCAGAGAGGTGGGGGGAGCTGCCCAAGCAGAGCCACAGCAAGGCTTCTGCAGTGAGAAGGAGCCGAAGGAAGTCATGTGGCTGGGGCAGGAGTAGGAGATGAGGCCAAAGAGGGGAGGCGAGGCCCGATGGCTAAAGAAGGACAGGATTCTAAGTGCTGTCAGGGCCTACTGATTCTTTTGTTTACAGGGAAGTGATCTGATTAACCTTTTTAAAAGCTCACTCTGTGTAGAGAACAGACTTTAGGGGGCAAGGGCAGACCCAGAGGAGAGACAGCGCTGACTTGACCCCATGTGCTAGCAGCAGAGGTGCAGAACTGGAGAGAGGTGAGGGGTCAGGACCCATCTTGGTGGAGTGTGGGGACAGTGTGGGGAGCAGGGGACAACCCCATAGGCACACCCCTCGCTTTGCAGGCCTCCTGGTCCGAGGCACACTTACCACCCCTGGGAATCTCTTTACTCCCTTGGGAACCCAGCATTTAGATCTAGGCAGCCACCACCTGCTACTTCTCAAGGTCCCGGGGCAGGCGCCATTGCGGCTGTGTTGGGCACATGTGAGGTTGGTCCTCCATAACCCTATTTGAGAGGTGAGGATGGCACAGAGTTGGATTGAGCCGTGGCCGACGGAGGGAAAAGCAGGAAGTGACACTCTTACCGGGCAAGTGCTGTGCATGCCACAACCAGCCCACGTATGATCTTCCCAACAGCAACAAGACAGGAGTCAGAGGCACTGGTAGCCAGAACAGAGAGGGGCCCGGTGGAACACAAGGAGGCGGCTGCTGTTCTCCAACAGCTGGAGCCTTGCGCATGGCGTACCGATGGTGGATTTCCCGCAACGATGCCCGAGGAGTTGGCTCCCGCTCCCCACTTAGTGGGAAGCAGGGGATCTCCCAGAGGACGGCTGCTTCCCTCCTGCCCAACTCTGAGACCCTAACCATCCACCTGTGCTTCCTGAGAAGGAGACACTGAATTCTGCTCTTGCTTCTGCATAGGTACACATGCATCCCCCGAACCCCAGCCTGTCTTTCCCTCTTGGCTCCCTTTCTTTTTCTCCTTCCTCCAAATCCTTAATTGGCAAGAAAGGAACTTTCCAGATTTTATTTTTATTCCATCCTGACTTACACCCATTTTTTCTAATGGGGTGTTCAGAGTAGGTATGCAGAGGAAATAGAAACAGAGGCCACAGAGAGAAAGTGATGTTGCAAAAACAGTAAAGTCATGACCAGTTATCCTCTGAAAGGGTGCTCCTCTCTCTCTCTCTCCCCGCCCCATCATTTGCTATTGAAAAGCAACCCTGGGCCAGGCCCAATGGCTCATGCCTATAATCCCAGCACTTTGGGAGACTTGAGGCAGGAGGATCACTTGAAGGCAAGAATTTGAGACCAGCCTGGACAACATAGTGAGACCCTGTCTCTATTAAGTTTGTTTGTTTGTTTGTTTGTTTGTTTTTTAATTAGCCAGGTGTGGTGGCAGGCACCTGTAGTCCCAGCTGCTCAGGAGCCTGGGGCAGGAGAATCACTTGAGCCCAGGAGTTGGAGGTTACAGTGAGCTATGATCCTGCCACTGCTCTCCAGCCTGGGCAACAGAGCGAGGCCCCTAGGGGGAAGACCAAGCCTGAAATATGAATGTGAACACACCATAGTAGCAGAAGAAGGGATTCTGGGCTGTGCAGGAGTTGGCCCCTATGGAGGGGAATTTCAGCCGAGTGTACAGCGTGGCACAGATGCCCACCCCGAATTCGGGCAGCGTCTGAACCCACTCCAGGGCTGTGTAGGTGGAGCCGCTGGACCATCTCAGGCCAGAAGTGCTTGCGTCGAAGAAGAGGCCAATCCAAGCCTGGGTGCTGGTCATGAGGGAGTAGAGCTTCAACAGGTCACTTGGCTGCAGGTCAGCAAGGTCTGTGTAGTGCAGCCGGCAGTGCTGCTGGGCGTCGTACCAGCTCAGCGCCTCCTTCACCAGAACCAAGTCCCTCTTACTGCTCACCAGCTGCAGGGCTGGAGCAGGAGAGGCTGTCACAGCACGGCTGTCCCCAGCCCAGCCCCTAGCCCTCGAAGAGCTTTCAGCCAACCCTGGTGGGACTTCCCAGCCTCTTCCTGCCCACTCTGTGCTTTGTCGCTGGCCCATCAGTCACATGCAGCTCTACCTCCCAGCCTTGGCATGAGCTGTTCTCTTGTTCTTGAAGAGCCAGCCACCTCCTCCAGCTCCCTCAACCCACAATTCCTATTCTCCCATTCCCTCATCTCCCCAGTCCCTTTGCCCAGCTAACTCCTCACCCTTCTGCCCCATCCTTTCTACAGAAAAGGTGAGATGCCTTTCCTATATGCTGCAGTGCACCTTTGTCAGTGCTTGATAACGACAGACAAAGCTTGCTGAGTACCCGCCATGTGCCATCAGCTCACGGGATTCTTCCAGCTGCCTAAGGTATCACTCTGCCTGTTTTACAAATGAAGGAACCAAGTCACAGAGAGTTAAAGAGGCATAGCCAAGGCCACCCAGTGGGAAGGAATACAGCCCAGACTCAAGAATCCTGGGCAGGCTCCCAGCTCCAGACCCATATCCATGGCAGGGCACCGGCCCTCCATCGGGGACCCATAACCAGAGCTGCACCCTGGAATCACCTAGGGAGCTTTTCAAATACACCAATTTCCAGACCCACCCTAGAGCAAAGATCTGCCACTGGGACTAACATCAGAACTTTTTAAAAGCTTTCAGGGAAGAGACCTTTTTGTTTGTCTATCTGTACCACCTGGTATAGGCAATTTAGGAGCAAAGAACGAGCCGTATTCATCATTATATTCCTAGGGCCAAGCACAATGCTGACCACAAGGGCTCAATGTATTGAAAAAGAGGGAAGGAAGGAAGGAAGGAAGGAAGGAAGGAAGGAAAGAAGGAAGGAAGGAAAGAAAGAAGGAAGGGAGAAGGGAGAAGGAAGGAAGGAAGGAAGGAAGGAAGGAAAGAAGGAAGGAAGGAAAGAAAGAAGGAAGGGAGAAGGGAGAGAGGAAGAAAGGAAGAAAGGAAGACAGAAGGGAGAGAGGAAGACAGGAAGGAAGGAAGCAAAGAAGGAAGGAAGGAAGGGAAAGAGGAAGAAAGGAAGGAAGGAAGACAGAAGGGAGAGAGGAAGACAGGAAGGAAGGAAGGGAGAAGGGAGAGAGGAAGAAAGGAAGGAAGACAGAAGGGAGAGAGGAAGACAGAAAGGAAGGAAGAAAGGAAGGAAGGAAGAGAGGTGGGGAGGGAGGGAGGAAGAGAGGAAGACAGAAAGGAAGGAAGAAAGGAAGGAAGGAAGAGAGGTGGGGAGGGAGGGAGGAAGGAAGGAAGAAAGGAAAGAAGGAAGGAAGGAAGGGGAGGGAGGAACTAATGAGCAAATCAAACGTCTCCCAGGAAGCCACCCTAAGCCCCAAGATCTGTGTTCCTTCCTTCCTTGACTCCATCCCCTTGGTCCCAGTAAATGTGGTTGGTCCAGGCTGCTTTGCTCTGCCCTGGGTCTGCCTGTGGAGGAGGCAGAGAGGAATGAAAGGCTTGGTGCTAGGACCTTGGAGGTCCGGGACACAAGGAACCCTTCAAGCTAGATGCCCCAGGAGAGGAGAATGAGAATGAGGAGCTGGGCACAGGCCGTGGCAGCAAAGCCAGGGGCCAGAACTGAGGAGGCACTTGCCAAGGAGAACCAGCTCCTCACACCCACCACAGCGGAGGATGCTTCCTGTCGCTGAGAAAAGCATTCTGCTTATTTTTTTGTTTAATGACTGGCTGTGGCCCACATAATTGATTTTAGGACGGTGTCCACCCCCGCCCCCCAGCGCCGTGCAGAGTGCCCCTCCCACCGGCCTCTCCAGCCCCACCCGGGAGCCCTGGTGGCAACCTCTGCCTCTCTGTGGCCTCTAGTCAGTTCCGTTGCCTTGAAATTCGCCCTTCTCTGCGTGCCTGCCAACACCTGGGCCCGAGGCCCCTCTACCCTCGGCAGTCCCCACACACCCCCGCTCTGCAGCCAGAGGGCCTAAGACCTGACCGCCCACTGCCACCTGGGCCGCAGCCATGGGGCCCTTCGCCCTCCCCTCCCACCCGCATCAGCAGCCGCCACCCTCCCAGCCAGGGCTTTTCCTGGCTGTCTTGGCGGCTCCTTCTCCCCCTCAGACTCACCCACGGCTCCCTTCCTCCGAGAACCCTTGCCGCCCCCTGGTCCACAGACCCCCACAATGCCCGTCCCTGTCCACACCCTGGTGATGTTCTTCCCTGCATCGCACATGCTTCTGAAGTGGCCTGCGAGGCCGTCTCCTTGAGGAATGTCTTAGCCCCGCTAGAATGGAAGCTGCTGGAGCCGCATTGTTTCTGACTGCTGCCTTCTGGGTGCTGACTGAGTACTGTCTGGTCAGGGGTGATGAGGGCGAAGCTCCCTTCCCACCCCTGTTCTGAGGGTTGAAAAGTATTCATTTATTTCTACCTTGCCTCCCCTCCAACCTGGAAATCTGGGAACTTCAGGGGAGTGCCGCCTTCCCTCAGCCTCCAGCCCTGGGGAGCATGGAGCCAGGCACCCTCCTCCAGGCCGGGGGGCCTCACCTGCTGCACAGAAGGAGAGCAGCAGCGCCTGGGGCAGCATGGCTGGGCACTGGCTGGGCGATGACTGGGTGTTGGCTGGGCACGGGACAAGTCCCGGGAGCTGGCGGGGACTGTGGCAGAGGCTGCGTCTGACCTTCTGGCCTTTTATTCCTTGCTCTTTACTCTCTTCCTCTTTGCAACCCAAACTGCTGGATTTTACTAAACAAATATTTATCCAGTGTCTGTTGCTGCCAGCAGGGAGTGAGGTGCTGGAGCTGCAGCCTGGAGGATGCGGAAGAGATCCCTGTGTGGGGACTCAGAAAACAGTGTCCGAAAATGAAGGCCTCAGAAGCAAAAGTTTTTCTCTGACCTTCTCCTGCTTTCCTGTCTCTCAGCCCCACTCTCCCCAAAGCCAGTCATAGGAACTAGAACCCCTTTTCCCCAAGTCAGCCATAAAACCTAAAAATATGACTCTAACTTACCCTTGCCTTGCTGTGTAGAAACTGGCTGTAAAGAAATGATCTGAAGGGATCATCGTTTGACTGTAGGTCATGAAACCCCCATTCCAGAGAGGACCCTGCTCCACGCCCAGAAAGAAGGACTTCATGCTCAGAGAGACCGAGAAGAAACTAGACAGACAGGCCTGGCCGGGTTTCCCCACTCAGTCTATTCACATTAGATCAGACCCTTTGTCCAATCATGTTTCTACACAGCTGCCCACACTTTGATGAACCTAAGCACAAAAATGAACAATTTCTCCCTCTATCTTTGGGTCTGCCTTCTGAAGTCTCCTGGGGACACATGTTAAATAAATTTGCATGACTTTCCTCCAATTAATCTGCCTTTTGCCAGTTGATTTTTCAGAGCATCTTCAGAGGTCCTCCTGCAACTTAGGAGGACGGCAACATGGATCTGGTAATTAATAAGCAGATCGGGGACGGAAGGAACGCATCCTTGGGGCTGGCTGCTGGGGGAGAAAGGGAGTAGGGAAGCAGAGGGCAGGGTGAGGCTTGACCCCTGGGTCCTCAGCGTCAGAGGAGCAAGGGGCAGAAAGGAAGGAAGGGGAAGAAGGAGGTGAGGAGGGAGAAGGAGCTGGAAATTGTGGACCAGGCTTTGCTAGACTCGCCTCCTACCCCTCCTCACAGCAACCACATGAGGGAGGGGCTGCCATTTTCCCTGGGTCACAGGGGAGAGACTGTGGCTCGGAGAAGTGAAACAGCCTGCTCAGGACTACCCCGCAGGCAGTGGTGAGACAGCAGTTCAAGCTTAGGACACTGAAAAGCATGAGGTTGGGAGGTGATGGTCCCCAACAATTCTGCTTCTGCACGGTCAGAGACCCCCATGCCCCATCGAGGCTCTGGCTCCAAAATTAAGCACAGGACTGGGCCGGCACAGTGGCAGGCACCTATAGTCCCAGCACTTTGAGAAACCAAGGCAGAAGGATTGCTTGTGCCCAGGAATTTGAGACCCGCCTGGGCAACATAGTGAGACTCCATCTGTACAAAAATTAAAAATTAGCTGGGCATGGTGGTACACGTCTGTAGTCTCAGCTAGTCAGGAGGCTGAGGTAGGAGGATCGCTTGAGCCTGGGAGGTTGAGTCTGCAGTGAGTTGTGATTGTACCACTGCCCTCCAGCCCGGGAGACAGGGCAAGACCCTCTCTGTTGCCCTAAGGGCAAAGCTTTCGGAAACACAGTCTGGAAGGCTCTTTTTTCCTGCACTCCACCCCTTCTCACCCTTCCCTGATGGAAGGGCAAACGGCCCCTCTGAATGGGCAAAAGGGAAAGAGGGGAGAAATTGTTCATGCAGCCACAGAAATGTCCTGCCACAGTTTCCCTTGTGCAGCAGTGGCCTTGAATGACTTCCTCGCAGAAGCAGGTCCTGCTTGGGCCAGGGCCTCTCAGGACCACTCTCTGGGGACAGAAGAGAACCTGACAATCCTGACGTGAAAGATGCCGCCCTGCCAGCGACCTTTCCATTGAGCCACTCCCCCAGGCGTCTCCCTCAAGTCTCTCCAGGAAGGGCCCTGCAGCCTCATGCCAGCTCAGGCCCAGCACTCCCTGAGGGCAGCACAGGAACTCCAGGCTGAAATTCCACCTGCGTTTCTTTCCTTCCTGACTGTGAGCTCCTTGAGAGCAGGGACTGTGCCAAAGTCACAAAGCACTCGCCCCTCACAAAGCCCA